TAAAGGTTTGATAAGCTGTTTATTATGCTATGACATTATCTAGGCAATGTGTAAGATATGCTTCTTCCTAATTATTGGTTCTCCCTTTTTCACCCACCATGAACCACACGATTGCCAGTGGCGACATTGATACCTCATGCACCGACTGATGCACCGACTGGACTAGGCCCTGGGGGTAGATGGTTTACTTTAGGGCTTTTATGGATATTCAGTGTTGTGACTGTATAGGTCCTCGTTGACCCTATCTCCTACAAGGAATTACAAATCTTATTGACATCGAACAATTGGAGGCGCGGTGATATTGGAAGACTTTTCCTTGATAAAAATACCGAATGATGATTGTAAAATCTAAAATTTTAATTCTTTTGAATCTTTGCAGTCTGATCTGCTTCTATAACTGCCAATCTATTGTATATTTCTAGAACTCCCCTCAATCTAATAGTACTTGAAAACCATGCGGCGATAAAACTTTCTGAACAATTACTGATCCATTCCATCCAACTCCACCAGCTTCAATACAACTTCCACTACCTCATTCCCGGATAAATCCATTCCAGGCTCATCAATCTTCTTTGCCAAAACATCATCCAACATTCCTCTCAATCTACTAACTAAAACACCGATACGTGCCCAACCCCTCAGTCGTAACCAACCATCTACCAAAAGACCTCTACCCAATGTATCCAATGTAATTGGCCCAGAGAATAAAAGTGCCGTATATGCGTTAAAAGGTGTAAGATCTCTGATAAATACTTTACTCGTCGCCATCTTATTGAAGTAACTCATATATTTGCTGTTACCAGGGAATGTTTGTGCATCAAAGATTGTACTACTTGGATGAACAAAAACACGTCCGTTTTCTTGATTGAAATATTTGATTGTCTTTGCTTCCGGGTCTAGTTCCACAGCACCGGAGACAGAGGCCGCAAACTTCTTATCTGGGAAATCGATACGTGCAAGTTGAGGATTAAAAGCTCCTGCGCAAAGGGATCGAATGAGAGCATTGTTTGATGATTTGGCTGATAAAGCTGGAGGAAGAATAGATGATGATGGAATGAAACCTATTTCCCGTAGTGACGTAAGATATTGAGTTCGATTTGAGGATATATCATTGAGTGTTTGATATGAGAGGAAATTATCACTGCACCAATTTCGAATTTCTCCTTGTCGATAACTATTGAAAATTAGTGTCGAATTTTAATATCGGGAGTAGAACAACATACTTTCTATTGTTAATCATCTCGAACCATTCTTCAAAAGCTCGAAGATCGCCAATCAAATCACCCTGATTTTTAGCGAACTTTGCCCTTGCAGATTTTGACTCTTCTCTTTTATCCTGCGGTGATACAAAAGGTGATTTGACAGTCAAGATAGCTGCGATTGTGACAGCGGCATCCAAACAACCAAACATAGCCCCGTAAACCATTAGTTTACCGCAACGAAGATCAGCAGGAATCATTGAAAGATGACGACCTAAAGCAGTAAGATCATCACCATCAAGGGCACCCATTCTTCCCAATAAATCCAAAGCGCCGTCAACAGCTATACTTTCAGGAGGAGTAATGGCACTTGCTAAGAATGATCCAACTTCCTTGATTCCCATAGCTCGTACAGATAGACATAATTGTTCCAATGGTACTCGTCTAATCTCAGGTTCAGGTCTCTCCATCATTTTCGATGTCTCGGCATTTCGTGTGTATAACTTGTAACATTTTCCTGCTTGAACACGACCTGCTCTACCTCTTCTTTGTTTACATGCAGCACGTGAAGCCCATACTTCTTCCAATTTACGCATGTTATTTTGAGGATCATAACTAGTCTCCTTAACACGACCAGTATCTATGACTGCGACAATATCATCAATTGTTATTGAAGTTTCGGCAACATTCGTGGCAACGATAACTTTACGCTTGCCATACGGAGCATGTGGGAATACTTTTCTTTGATCTGATGATTGCAGGGATGCGTGTAGTGGTAGAGCATGTAAATTCGGTATGGTCTTCAAGTAATCCAGCGTTCGAGTGATTTCAACCAGACCTGGCATGAAGATGAGAATTCCACCATCTTGTTTCAGATGAGTTAATTCAGCATCAATCTCTTTGACAGTTTGACTGATTAAATCATAATTGATTCTCATACCAATACTTTGAATGGCAGCTGCGACGTCCTGATCCATACCAGATGTTTCCTGATTGTCTTCCTGGTACTTACTACCAAATCCCGGATTGAAATTAGTCATTCGAATAACATCGTCAAGATAGTAGTCTTCCACTGGGTATGTGCGACCACTAATCTCGACTCTACCAACTTTTCCACCACTCTTGAAATAATCTTCGAAAATGCCAGCATCCAAAGTGGCACTCATCAAGATTAATTTCAAATCTTTCCGTTGGCGAAGAACATCCCGCAACAAAACAAGCAAGAAATCTGTATCCAAAGATCTCTCATGGACTTCATCGATGATAACATGACTAACATCTGCAAGAGATGCCACGACATCATCACTACTCCCTCCAGATGTTTGTAATCGCCTTAGAAGTACACCTGTAGTCACAAAAGTAATCTTGGTATTCGGTGATGCTTTTGACTCTCCCCGAATAATGTATCCAACCTCTTGACCAACGGCAGAACATCGCTCATCACTAACACGATCCGCCAATCCCAAGGCAGAAATACGTCTAGGTTGCGTACAAATAATTTTCGCACAATCTCCAAATGCTTGTTGATACATGTCATCCAGGATAAATTGAGCCGATTGAGTTGATTTGCCAGAACCAGTTTCACCCGAGATAATGGTAACTTGGTGAGAATTCACAGTATCCACAATAATATCCTTCATCTCCCACGCGGGTAAAGTTCTTCGACCTTTGATCATAGATTCCAACTTCGGATTGAGTTGTCGACTCTTCCATTCATCCTTACTTTTAATGTTGGCAGTCCATTTAATCGCTCTAGGATGTCTTGAGATATTCTGTCTTCTCCGACGAACTGGTTGAACTTCACTGACTATCGATGCAGCGGCTGAAACATCGCTAAGCTTTCCAGGTCTTTCAATGATACTGTAAAGATGTTGTTCCACCCAGCCAATGAGGAAAAATAACATGTGTTCACCCAATAAACTATCCATGGCATAATTCAAAGCTTGCTTCATAATGCTCAAACGAATATATGCCGGCAACTGAACGTGAACGGATATGACCGGAACCTTTTGTGGATACTCAGAAGATCGACGAAATTGGATAATAGGTTCGACAGGAAGATTCGTTCCACGATTTGATGGTTTGATTTTAATTCTGCAAACATCTTTCGATGGACGTGAATATTTCTCGCCAAAAACCGATTGAAGGCCAGTCATTTCCTCTTCCCAAATTTCTTCCGAAGATTCTTTGGCATCTTCAGTATCCCAGGATTCCTCGCTTGGAACAGATTCGACATCTTTTCCACTCGACAAGAGTATGTGTTGTAAAGCCTCAGAAGCTTTTCCTTCATCGTTATGAATATCATAAATTTGCTTGCAAAGGTCGATTGAATATCCAGCTTCAGCCAATCTCTTGATAGCACCTTCACGCTTCAAATCACTACTTGCCATACTAATACCAGCAACATATCCTTCCGGCAATGCCCATCTTGGTAGATCATCCTCTGGAACATGGATCAGTAGCCATTCAAGTGTCTCCTCTCTATCTTTGCATATATCCACAGCTTCTTCGATATGACTCTGCCTGAAGTCAAGAGTCTTGAATTCTTTCACAATGGAATGCTTCTGAAAGTCGGATAACATAACATCATGTGGGTTCCAGATAGCGTGTTTTCTTACTAAACTTTCGACTTTCGTTCGCGTACGTTTGCCCATCTCGATTTTAGGTACCTTGGTCCACCCCCTGTGAATATTGTTATGTGATGATCCCTCTCCGGTTGAATTTGTACCATTGCTTCCATTACCACGTAATGCCAATCCTGCACCTCCTGGACCTGCTGATCCTGGTGTATTCATAGCCTTTTCCCTTGCCTTTTGCTGTTCGTTGCGCTTCTTTTCCATTGCAGCTTTGCATCTTCTCTTTCCCTCAACGCAGCAAATGGATCCGCCTCATACATCCATGCCTTTCCTTCCTTGATATCCTCTTTCTTCAAAACTTCAAACTCACCCTTCCATAAATCTCGATAATCAGGTGGAAGTGTCATGTGAATGTTTCGCATATTAAGAACCCGGAAGAGACCATATGTGGCAGCGAAATGTCTAGCTTCAAGAGCTGTGGGTTTGACTGCAAGGTGCTTATGCGAAGGTGGTAATTTAAAGGGGGCTAGCGACACAAGTTCCTGGGTTTTCGTATTCTTAGCCTTTAGGATTACCATTGAGGAGAACCCTTCCGGAGTTTTGATCTATTGTTTATAGCATCAGTATGCGCCGTCATTATTGTAGACATTTCTGGAATTTCCACAGCATTAAACACTTACCATGGTATATTCTGGTTTCTCCCATTTTTGCTTTTGGCAATGTTCCGAAAGTAAATTGACGGGCAACTTTCCAGTCCATGATTGTCCGCCGATCAATTTCTTAACATCCGGTCTCTTTGGCGCCTCACCCAATGGATCAGGTCCGTCTTGTCCTTGAGTTGGCGGCTTTCTTTGCTTTGGCTCTTTATCCGAATTTGAGAATACTATAAAGCTATCATCTGCAGCGGGTGTCGTTGACGCTTTATTTTTACCGGCAGATGTACCTGGTTTTGGCCCACCTTTCGATGATTGTCCTTTCTTGACCATATTTGGTCTCTGCAGTCTTGATGACAGGCAAATCCATGAAATCAAAGTTAGTAGTAGTGAAGGCGTTGAGATCTTTTAGTGGTTCATTAGATTTGGATGCTAGTCGGAAATAAAGTTTTCCCCACAAGGCTGAGATAATTGTAAAGCTCGGACTTTTTGCATTTGATATGTATGTGCGTCATTCTGGTGGAACTTTTGAAGCTCAGCCTTGGTAACCATAACTAGTACCTGAATGGGTACGGAGCCCGACTCCAATTAGTAGTCATCACCGAGTGGACATTAATTAAATTACTGTTGTGTAGATACGATTCTCCCGCTCTCTCTTTTACAATTTGGGTATTGACGAGGATATATTTAAGGGTGAGATCTGGGGTCTTACCGATAAACAGAGTACATGGAACCTCTCCTGCCTGGTGAACCTCTACTCAATCGTGATTATGACTTCAAAAATCGAAGACGATACTAATGGGACACCTCAAGCGTCCTCATTATCAAACAAAAAGTCTCCTAAATCAAACGCATGTACCGTAACACAACCATTCGTTTTTTTACTCCCGCTATTTATTATACTAACAAGACTTTCATAGTTACCAAAATGATGTCAAGTTCGCGATCCAAACGCCCTAATTCCTCCCCGACATCCTCCCCTCCTCCCAAAAAGATTGCAAATTCGAATCCTTTCCATTTTGGTCGAGCAGGCCTCGGAGCTTACTTATCAGACCCCTCATCACATCCTGCATCACGCATGATCTATTATAACTCTTTATTTGTAGCGATCCATGACCTTTACCCTAAATCTTCGGTTCATGCCCTACTGATTCCACGAGACGAGAAATGGAATAGTATGCACCCGAAAGTCGCATTATCCAACCCCGAGTTCCTCGATATGGTGAGACCGGAAGCAGAAAAGTTGAAGGGAATAGTTGCATCAGAGTTACGTCGAAAATATGGACCGGAATCTGCAGAAGATTTGCAAAGGCAAAAAATACTTAATGGAGAAGTCAATCTAGATGATGATGCTGAGATGCCAGAAGGTAGGAATTGGGAAAAAGATGTTATGATTGGGATACATATGCATCCATCTATGGATCATCTTCATATTCATGTTCTTTCCGTGGATCGTTATTCATCATGTCTGAAGAAGCGGAAGCATTATAATTCATTTGCTACACCATTCTTCGTCAATTTATCAGAATTTCCTTTGTCCGAGGAGAGACAAGAAGCTCTTGATAGGAAAGGACAAGGTAAAGCATGGCTAGAAGATAATTTGAAATGTTGGAGATGTGGTATGCAATTCGGAAATAAATTTACTCGGTTGAAGGATCATTTGGAGTTGGAGTTTGATGAATGGAAAATAAAATAAACGTCAAGCGAAAATCACCATGTCAATTTTCTTCCTCCACTTAAACTCACGAATAGACTATACGAAGAGCAAAAGATAGGAGTAAATTCAATATATTGCTTTTCTTTCATGCTACTTGTTCAATTTTTTTCAGAATTGGCCTATCCTTTAACAACCTTCAAGTATCTACTCGTCAGTGTCCTGGAATTCAAGCAATCTAGTCTTCAGATTTCTGACTACAGAATCATCATCAATTTCTGCTTTGCTACTCAAAAATATTACCATATATGTCTCGGTATCAAATATCAGTCAAGAATGGTTTATTATGAAAGTTCCATAACCTCATAATGTGGATCAAATTGATTTATCAATTGCACGTAGTTTCTGCGACACAATTACTGACAGGAGTCACCTTAACCATACCGATCGTAGGTTTCTGACATCACGTGTATACAATCACATGAGTCGTAACAGACCAAATAAAAGGAAACAACTCTAGGAAAGGATGTATGCTAAAGCTACTTACGAGATTCTTTCGTCCAGAAAAGAATCCGCCTCGCTTATGGAGCCCCTTTGTTCGCGCTGTTGACTCAACACAAAGAACCCACCTTTACCACTGTTTCAAAACTACTTTGCAACAATGATAATTGTGGTCATAAGAATGGCTTTCATTGGTCTCGAATATTCCCATTTCACTCCATTCAAACTCCATTCAACTAACTCCTCAACAACTGACTCACCAACTAACCACAAGCTATCACTTTAGATCCTCACTCCCAAATATGACTCTCAAACCACCGAAAAGATGTCCGGAATGAACGCTGTTACCACAGTTGTCGCTTCTCTAATTATCATTATCTTTGTTATTGTCTTCATCATTTTCGTTCCCGGCTATATAGGCATCAGATTTGAGCGTCGACGCATCGCAGCTCAAAACAACCTTAGGTCAATGAACTGGCCATTCCCTGCCCAACAGGAACAAGAACAACATCAACAACCAAGACATGAATACGATATCGAGATGAATGATTGGCCTTTGAGATGTCCAGAACCGGCTTTGACAAGAAGGCCTTCTGACTGGCCGTTGAGAAGAATGCAACCAGTAGTTATGCCGGAGAGAAGAAGAGAAAGTGTTAAGAATGTTAGTTCGGAGTCTGGTAGTGCTGGTGGTGATCTTGAGGGATTTCCTTACTATGTGCGATAAATGCCGACTCTTAGCGCTCAAAGGGAGAGGACTTGGAAAGGTAAGTGAAAACTGTGATGCTAGACGTTACGAGTTTCTTACCAGGTAAGTGCAAGTGCACTCAGGTAATTCAATTTTTATATCCAAAAAATAGTACAACATATTTATAACTGTGACCAATTGTGAAATGAAATAAAATGATAATAATTGCAAAATCTTTCTAGAATTAAGTTTATGACGTTCGAACCCAATCAGACTTGAAATAAACTAAGACATTGTGTCAATTTTACAACGTCATTAAAAAAGATCTACAGCGGGGTAATGTAAGGAGAACCTCACATACCAACACCACAAATCACATCAATGGCTCAAACAGCACAAAGTTGAGTACACGATACGAGAAAACGGCTCTGTACGATATTTGAGTTACACAATATATGTAGATCTGACTCGTATCGACTTTTAGAACGTGCAACGTATGATTCCATGAACGAATGAAGATCCATTGCTACCAGAAACACGAGAAACTCTACTCTTTCAGGTAAGGGTTTAGAAAAACTGGTACGTTTTTCATGTTTATGACGGAGAGATAATGCAAGGTGCCGCAGCAGTCGGCTGAGGATATATTGTCTCTCAGGAAATGGTGAACTCGCCATAATGTATATATGTGAGAAATTTTCCCAATTCTGGTGCAGATTTCTAGCCTTATAACCATACCTCTTACTGAGAAGAAAAATCACCTCGCAACTAAAACAAGTACTCAATTCAAAATGCATATCCAAAACTTTCTCTACACCCTCACCTCCCTCACTCTCACAAACCTCGTGACCTCCTCGCCAACTCAAGCCGGCACTCTCTCTACCCCACCCCCACCAGGAGAAAGTAAATTTCCCCTCCTCTCACTCACCCAATAAACTAACAAACACTCAGCCTATGTAGTCGGCTTTCCCATCTGTGCAATTCCTGGGTTCACTCAGATTCCCGGCGATTACAACGAAACCATTCACCAATATCCCAACGCCACACTTGCAAGTTGCATTAACGAGTGTCGATCTGCATATCCAGAATGCAAAAGTATTGCTTTTCATGCGCGGTATACAGAATGTTTGTGGTTTGATGAGAGAGTTGATAAGACGCAATTGTATGAGGATGATACGAGTGAATTTGTTCATTATGATTTGATCTGTCCGGTGCCTGCTTGTTAGGTATGGAGGGATGGATGTGAATCGGCGGCTGGGGGTGGAAGTGGAATGAGATCATAATAATTTAACGAAGCGATGAATGAACTTTACTAGCGGTGTTCTGATGAAAATCAACGACAAGGAGGCCGGCTGGATAGGAGGTGGATGTTGTTGGAGACTCTTGAATTTATCCTTGCTCGATCAATTTTTCTCAATGAAACATTGTCATTGATGAAATTACTACACCATGGATTCTGAATGCATCTGTATTGCAATATTGTGCTCCAAATTGTAAGAGTTCTGGAACCTACTCACCGCACCCCATATAGTTTTGTGACAAAATCCCTGCAAAAATGGCGTTTTCCTATACAAATTAAAAAAATTAATAGCGTTTTCAATTCAAGAGATTTTATTTCGAAAATTGAATTATATATAAACAATATTATAAATTAGTTAAAAAAAAATTGATTTTTTTTTAACTTGTAACGCTTTTCCCATACAAAATAAGCGATTTTTTCGAAAATTTTATGAATTTTGTTTTCAATATCTTATAACTCTATCAATAAAATAGCTAAAATAAACTAGCTTTTTTTTTATCAAATTCAAATAATCCAAATCATTTTCTGATTATTTGTATCATTTTATATAAGAATATAGTAATTAAACAGGGGTTTAAAAAGTTGAAGAAATAAGGGTTTTAGCGGGAAAACGATTTATGTGCGGTGAGCAGGGGCCAGAACTCTTACTATGTCATTTCCATATCTCAAATATGTTCAAAATCCCATATGAAGCCTCCAGGTGAGATACCTTGTCTGTCCCCACTCCAAATCATTGGCAAACCAATCAGGTTGAGCCGGTCTATTATTGAAACATTAAATATTATTTCCATTCATCTATTCCTCTTTTCCTTCATTCCTCTCTGTCTACTCTCTCTTCTCTCCCTGCCCTTTCTACTTCTCGATATTCCCCTCCTCTGGATTGTTCTCTTGACCCACCAAACAATCATATCCCTCATTAAGAATAAAATAACAACAAAAGCAACAGGTAAAGCTATTTGCCAAAAATATTTCTCGTTATGTTCTATACTTGGCATATCGGTGAAATTCATTCCAAAATAACCTGTCAAAAAACTTAACGGCAGAAAAATGATAGTGACAATTGTCAGTTGTTTCATAGACTCATTTTGATATGCTGAGATGGTATTGAAGATTAAATCAATCATTCCATCAGCGTTTCGTCGAAGTTGATCCAAAGATTCTGTAATTAATACGATGTGATCTTCAACGTCTCCAAGATATGTTTGTGCCATTTGACTAATCTTAACAGCAGATGCTGCCTTTTGTACATCACCTCTTGGTCCAACGTTTTTATGATCTCGAAGAGAATTGATGAGGTTAGCAATTGGATTGATAAAGTTGCGTAATGTGGTTATTTCGCTAGTAACGACGTATAATGATGTTGTATGTTTGATATTGGGATTTGTCAAGACATCTAGCTCTAATGAACCAATGATGTCCTGATAGGCGGAGGTGACAGGTATAGCAAGATCAATGACAGCATCGATAACGGCCTGCATTACCATTGATGCATCACATGATTTGCGAAGTATTGTATCAGAATTGCTTAATCTGTGAAGGATGGGTTCTTCAATGTCATCTGCTGAATTTTCGAAGAAGGAAATGACGGTATTATCTATGATGTATTAGATCAAACTCGACGAAATAAAAGGACTACTAACCGGCAGTCAAGAATATCGAGACCTGCTCAGCACTAACAGCCAACTTCTTTTGTGTTAGAGGAGAAATTTTCTCCATATGTGCCGCTCTTTCTTGGTTTGGGCCACCATGATATCTTTGTAAAGTCCTTAATTTTTGCACTGGGGAAGATTGTACGCCATCCGTATGCCCAGTGATAAATTCCTTAGTTGTATCATGAACACCGCCGGCTAGCGCATCGATGGGTGTAACATTGGAATTCCTCCGTTTCATGAATTTATATAACGCTTTACGGAATGGTCCTCGTTTCCTTTTCCTTGGAGCCTCCAGTGTTATATCTTGTTCGTCGTCGCTATCGCTTTCCGAATCGCTATCCTTATCTGGATGTAAATGGACGAGTTTTTGCAATGTCAAAACGACATAAGTATGGTCAGTATACCTACATATCGTTAGTCCTCTACCATCAGAATGTACTGTACAACATACCAATCTGCCTTTGTCCTATTATTGAGATTGACCATATCCTCAATTGCCAATCTGTGTAATTTCTTCTTCTTGCCAATGGCTTGTATAACATCCCAACTGAGTCCATTAACATTAACCCATCGACATTTAATCCACTCCTCTTGTTCCATATCCATGAAGCGAACAAATTCATCATTATTGAATTCTCTTTTGACTATTTTTTCTTGACTGAAGTCCACAAGAGTTATTTGACAATCCTCGTGTAGGTTGAAGCTAGCAGTTCGACCACCATAAGGTTTAGATGGATCCAAACCAGGTTCTTGTCCTGGATGCCATTCTGGTTGACTTGGCGAAACATCAACAGTGGGAAAGGTATTGGTTCGTGAACGGGTTGCGCGACGTCGAACTGGTGATTGTCCCGCCATGGAGTCTGGGGCAGATTGAGTAGACATTGTAGGCTCGAGTTCATCTACAAATTGAGAATAAGCAGATTATTGCGAATATGCGCATGAAGATGATATCCATCGGAAGGCATGAGAAACGTGTGCGAAAGTTCTCAGAGTGAGGAGAATGATATATGCCGTTGTCGCACAAATATATTGATTGGTTCAAGTTGCGAAAGAAACTCACGGCTTAGTCTAGGAAATGCCTCCGATTCAAATCCCGCGGTTCTTAATGGTGAGTTTATACCCCCAGGTGAAAAATCTCTTATTTCTGGTTCATACATTCTCCCTTTTCGATATCATTTGTATGCGACGTAATGAAGTCTTGTTGTTTCAATTCTTGGATTGATCAAACTCCTTTCCTCAAAATCTGATGGATTCGCGATTCAATCTCCAACCCTCAATTTTTCCTATAAAACTAATATTGCGTTACAATAGGGGTATCAAAATAAAGATTTAATGAATGACAAGATTCAAAAACGAAAAATGCAACAAAAGCAAGTAAATACAGATGAAATGAAGATGTTGATAATTCACTTGTCGAGAGTAAACAATGTATCGATGGTTCATCTGATAATTAATTTTTGGTGTACTCGAGTGCATGAATAAACAAGACAAGCTTTGCCAAGCTAAAATTACCTATTTCTGGGAAGCCACATTTTACCAAATGCCCACTTCAAATTTGCATGTCAAAAACAACCCCTATTATTTAACGAATACCAGTAGTCTCTCTTTAAAGGAGATCCTTCATATGGAAGACATTATTCACAAAATGATGGAGATCAGAATAAATTTCATGTGAATATACTGAGATTGTGTATACTTCGTTTTATTTCAGGTTGTTCGTTGTTGTATCTACAACGTATCAACTATTTTGATATTTAAACCATTCTCCTGTACGTAGGTGTGAAAATGAAGATCTAGAACTCAGGATCGTACCGGCCATTAGACCCTAAACTTCTAGTCAATGACGCTCCGCTAGGCCACTGCCGTGGAGGCTTTTTCGCTTCGCTCTGGGAGAAAACATGTTCGATTGAGTTGAATTGATGATAGAATTAGCGATTGAATTACCGATTGAATTAACTGAGGTGGAAAACAAGGGAAGATATTACCTATTATTTCGTGATAAACACATGTATGAGGGCTAATATCTATGAAAAATTTCAAACATGTAGATTCGTATGAAACCCCATAGCTAGTGTATTTAAACCCATGATAATACATAAGGGAAGGAAAGAATAGAAGTCCAACAGGTTGTCAAGACAAAACAGAAAAGAGGGGTTTCATCTGATAGTCAACATGCATATGATGGATAGATACTATGATCTGAAGAATTTAGATCATACCTATTGACGTGATAGGTAGCCCGTTGTAGTTCAAGACCTGGTGCCAGGTGGACATCAACCCTGCTTAGTCATTATTCATCAATAGCGGTGAATATGACGTGAAGAACACCCAAACCCGTTCAAACTTTACATCTCACAACAAGAGCCCAATACGATACCGATACGAGTTAATGATGTCAGAGTCACTTCATCACAAGATATTTCCATTGACATCTGAACCCAATATTATACCTGATTTATGACAAACACGGAGAACAGTGGACCCCAAGAAGATCATCATTTCCTAAAGTTAACGTTATTGATATTCATAAACTTTGTACACAGCCATGCGAGCCATCCAGCAATACCTACCCCAACAGGCCCCCAATCAGGCCCCAATTACTACGAAATATAGTATTTTATACTTCAATACTTATACTTCGTGCATTAATAAGGTTATGATAGACAGGTACAAAACAAGGCTGAGTAGTTCTCGAAGACAATTTATGGTTTCTCCCATCATTTGGATGTAACCGCCAGGGTGGGGCAATACACGTGTGAAATCACATCTTATCTTGGCTATCCAATTTTTAATTGGAAGCCTTGTACCCTAACTATTGTGTGCAGATCTTGATATGCCCGTACGAGTGTCGTGCATCATTAGTAATCTGGGGAGAATTACCAATTTTTGTAGATCTGGAAATGGAGAATCGATAGTTGTTCTGTTGACGTGACGTTGTATGATCTGCCCGAAATTGATAGGGCAGGAATACCTTCCCACGTGCAAGACTATAGGGAACGAGGATACAGCGAGTTGGAGACTTACTGTGCATTTATTACATCCTATACTCCCTTTGGAGAAAAAAGATAGGTTTCAACAGATCATTATGTAGTTCTCATTTCAGTGTCAAATCATCAAGGCAGGTGATAATAAAGATCGAGAAGAGAATAATTTTCATTTGGTATCATTTCCATATCGCCATCATAACACCCCTTTCATAATCCATTTCTACCGCTCTATTCTATTCAATAACCATCCGCATCAACAATTCTTAATTCCGAAGCCATACCAATTTCAAAGGGAGAATGAATTTCAAATGGTGTTCCAACATTGATATCCAATCCCGTAAATGAATCTCTATCTCTCCCAAAACAGTCCCCATTAAATCCCGATGTTGGATGAGAAGTATTCTTCCATGGTGTTGGTGGGTGAGCTGGAACCATAAAGTCATATCCTGATTCGCTTGTTCCCATGGGTCGTAATAAAGGACTTGCACAAGGTGTAGATCTAGCGCTTGGGAGACTGGATGATCTTGGAGTATATGCGGGTGTGTCACAAGCCGACGATGCTTCGGAAGCATTACTTCCTCTTCTTTGACGTGCTGCATCGCCAGATGCTCTAAGAAGGTCGAAATCCATTGACGATGTCTTTTTTATTGGTCTTTGACTTCGTGTGCTTTGTGCTAATTCTCCAAGCTTCATAAAGTTATCCATATCTGATATCGAGATGATTGGTCCGCCGACCATTTGTGAAGTTGATGAAGACATGATTTACTATTTTAATTAGTCTTTGTCAAGATAGTATTTTGCCAGGAATAAACTTACAAGTATGGAAATTGTGAATGATTGATTGGATGAACTCCTGACCAAGTACAGACTGCTTGGGAATAGATGATGAATGTTTCTCAAAGTGTAGAAAAACGTTTTCGTGGATTGTAAATTCGTGTTGGTATATATTTTGAGAGAGAAAGTCGTGAATGAGAATGAAACCGTTGTGATATTCTCAAAGTCGTGATGATATAATGAAGTGAAATCGTTAAGGATAGTATGAGTTAGTTTATTAAACAATAAAGTTATAATATACGAAGAATGATTGTGTGGTATGAAATCTAACTTCCAGATACGAGGACATCCGGATACATATATCAAGACCCGAAAACTCCGTACAACCAAATCACGAAATCCTACTTAACACAATATTCTAGTACCCCATGGCCAGCGCCTAGAGATTTAAGATCTGCCTACCACTTGGGTCACCCCACTCGCGCTTGTCACAATCCACCCGAGATCCACCATAAGGCTGTCTCCATTTCCGGCCCAACCAAAAGTTTTATATATTAAGAAATGAATGAACTGAACCGTGCCGTAAAATGAGGAAATAGGTACCAAGCGGTTGCAGTTCGCTTATCCAGTCGTTTCATGTGATCACCACGTTTTTGGGGGACAATGCGTCTAATTTTGTGGCCTATCAATCCGCCTATCGTTCTCGTGAACAAGGTCAAGCGAAGGCTGTGTTCTTGGTCCATTAGATCCACAAAAGAAATAAATTCTACGATTGGTGCATTTGTTCCGGAGATCAGGTTTGCCGCCGGTATCAATCAAGCTCCGAAAATACTTGTTTTAGGCCATCATCATAACCGTTTAAGAAAACATTCATATCCAATGCAGGAATAAGAAAAGGGAGGACAAGGGGGAAGCTTGGTATGTATGAAACTCTCACATGTTGTACTTATAGAGTTTTGTTTTGTTTTCTTCCTTTCGGATTTGGATAAGATACCAACACTGGAAATGATCGAAAATTCTAGATGAATCTTGGAAATATTGTTTCCACAATATTCGTAACCTTATATGACACGTATATCAGCGGTCTCATGTTCTGCGACCTAGATGTCACTCGAAAGGAGCCTGGTCTAGAATTACTCGAAGAATAAGATCGATTGGTTTAGTGCCTCCATTCGTGACTATAAAGTAAATAAAAGAATCCTTCTGTTGGAATATTCAATTGTCGGGATATGACCATGCGGATTCATTAATTGTTGTTGGTTCTTTGTATCCATAGCCAACGAAATTCCAACGATTGTATTGAGCCGAGGCATCTTGTCGTCCTTGTCCACATGACATTCAGAATAATCGTTAAATGTCATTTGAAGTTAAAATCTTAGTAAGCATTTCTTGGGAAACAATTTTTGAAAGTATAAACAACTGACTTTAACAAAACGTGTCACATGCAGACTCTTATCAATTCAGGGGATTGAAGCCACGCAGCTTGATACCTATGAAAGTTAGATTGCGCAAATTAAGGTTGGTTGGATTCCGAGGTCCCAACCTTAACTTCCACAAAAGTGCTTGATGGCAACATGAACTCCGGAGTTCCGATTGTACTTGAACGGAAACAACTATCCGTTACTGAGAATATTATAAATTACCTAGTGGTACAATATAAACAACAGTTAGAATGTCGTTTGTCATGAAACATTTCTTGTTACCTGGATCAATTTTTAAGAAAAACTATAGACCCATTAATTTGGACCCTTATCAATATTTCATCCTGCTGTGTCCTCATAGGATATTTTGAGAATTGAAACAGTTGGAAAATATTATACCGTCGTACTGCAATGCCTCACAGATCACCAATTCACTTACCATGCACTTATCTATCCACTGTGTATTGGATTCAGCGATAGTTTTCCTTAAGAATATGCCATTGTTGATGCATCTGGCTTTTCTCAAACAGATACACATGGATCTTTATCAAATCCATCTTACCGTAGGTCTGATAATCGGCGGGTGTGATCTTACGACCGGTGCGACCATGATAGAGGATTGCAGTTACGAGATAATATGTACCAGACTTGAAGTTATGGTTTGAGACTTACCCGGGAACCAATAAGATCTTGGATACCGTTGATGTTGGTTGGATATAAGTGTGGTGTTGCAAATCTTGCGTTTAGGCTTTTCCTCTTATGGCGATCAATATTCATCCAGTTAAATTTCCAATAGCGATTGGTCGGCCTGGTTCTGCTTTCCCGAGTGTTTGGAAATTAAGGACTGATAATTGTAAACAGCCACCAACTCGGGGAAAGAAACCCGCGCTTTCACAGCAATTTTCTAGATTAATGGTTGATTCTTCGAGGATATGTGGAGATTTCAAAGCATGGGGCATTGCTATAGGAAGTGATGCTACCATGGATTACTGCACTTTTGCCGCGAGCGCGGTATACACGATGTCAGTCTTCTAAAACATGAGGAATGGGCTGCGGTACTCGGGATATCATACCGAAGCTGTAGGAGCAAGGCATAGCATAGGATGAAAGTGAAATGTTAGTACGTCTCCCCAAGTTGGACGAATGCAAAATGCAAAATGAGAAATGCTGAAATTGATACATCTACCCTAACAACGAGAATCATGATGTATAGTGTTTATGCTGGACGTATGTTAGTACGGAATCCTTATACTATTCTAATTAACTGACCTGGAAAAAAGATGAGTTGGTTCATTTTCATGATACTACACTGGCATCACCCTTTTTGATAGAACCCTTTGAAAGTGGAAGTTATCTGTTCAAAATATCGGCAAATGAATTTCGTGGGGAATAAGAAGATCTCAATCAAGATGAGCAATCTACACCAAACCATTTTTATTCAAAGCTCGAGATCAAGTTTGCTTACAAAATTGATCTACTCGGCCCGTAAAAGGAGGGTAAAAGTTTCCCAATTTCACCCGAAACTATCCGACCATCTTTAGTCGATGAGTATCGGTCCTAACTTTTCGTAGTTTTTTGCTAGTATTCGGGAGTATATAATTTTCCGAGATCCGTGACCGGTCCAAATGAAATCACCATGCTTTTTAAGGTTCCACGGACCATTTGGAATTTTCTATGATCAACAATCAGATAAACTACCATTGGTAGGCTTACTTTTGACTTCAACATGAAACGGTAGATCTTGAATATCAATCAGCGTGACAATTATTAGATCGTTTTCCTGCAGTAGTAACATGCTTTTAAGAACATTAAGATCAAAACGAAACCGAATTCTACTAGGATTGAATCACAACCTGATATCAGGACGTTAAAGGGTCCAAACACTACAGTCAAAACCAGATGTATTGCTCCGATAAATCTATATTGCTCCGATGACCTAAAATACATGGTTTATAGCTTCTAGAACGTCGTTGTCTATCACTATTGACACGCTTTAGGAGAACCATGGAATGCGCTTATTTTTAGAGTGACAAAAAACCCAGAAGTCAAATCTACTTCTTCGAAGATTTCAGATGTATGACAGGGTATAAAGAATGGTCATATCCTAATAGAAAATCTATCAGTAATTTAATGTCGGAAAAGTTTTTAGAAGGACGTGTGTCATGAACTAAACTCTTGGCTCAAAGGATCATCACTTCTTTGAAGTTCTTCCCTTGTATTCCCAAGAGTAGATTGAAACTTTTCAATCCAGAAAATCGGAACGATACAGTAGGGTCTTTGTCCATTGGTTAGTGTTGCCACGTGGAGACGTTAGTGCCCGTTATAGCGTCGAACAGACCTTCTACCATCCCGCTTGGGTCGTCTAACCCCACCTAACCCTTTTATCAAAACATAATTGACAAGTTCTAAAACGTTTTCTATACAATTTTCAATCTCCCGGCTCAATGTTTTCATTTTTTTTTTCAACATATGAAATGACAGAATATCAATACAATGCCACTTATAAAATCATCTTCGGCCATTGACATCGCACCCCCTTCTGGACACGAATCATCTCAAAAAATCCCATCATGCACAAACTCAAAGTTACAGTTCAAACTGTAGCACATCCTCGAATGTATTTTCGAGATCTCTGAGTTCCTCTAGCACATCAGATTATTCTTTTGATTCGAAAAGATTGGAAATAATGAAAACACAAACGATAGAATGGTCATATGAACCCGCATCATCTTCAGATACGGAGAAAGGTTCACACAGCTCGAATACGTATCATACGTGGGAAGCACAAAGTCCAAATAAGAATTATGCTGGAAATTTGGAAATGGGAAAACTTTCATCGAAGAAACAAAGATGGACTAAGGATTAACGACTGAGTGTTTGACATCACCGAAAATTCTGTTTCTCTGATATATAAATATTAACTGCATGAAGAACCAGAGCCATGGTATACGCTTTCATATCCATGGGGACCGGGTAGGATATAGAACCGAGAGATCAGAACGGAAGTGATGTCTACTCGACGGCTCATTCATACCACAACCCATACTCGGACAGCACAAATCAGGAGAGGACAACCACTTGAAGGATATCCTGAAGGACTCGCACGTACAAATACCTGTCAGACTTTCGATCCCTCTGAATGAATCTAATTGAAGATGTACTGTGCAAGTATATTGGTACTACATACGAAGCGAAAAAGTCCAGATATAATCACGTGCTCAGTATTTGTAGGAAAACGACAAAGGTGAAGATATGCGAGGCAAGAATGTTGACCTAGCTTTCGAGCTCTCTAATTCACGCTTGGGGATATTTGTATTGGAAGCGACGCAAATTGGGGGGTCAAGAAAAACTGGATGTGAAACGGCAACAGAATGTTATCGGACCAAAGGGGTGTGGAGGAAAAGACTCCTGGATATATTGCACTGGAATTCCAAGGAATGCTCGGAACTGGAAGGAAGCTTCAGGGATCGACTAATTCGGTGGAATCAATGTAATACCAAAATCAAACTACATGATAGAAGTAGAAGATGTTTGATATTAGCAGGTCTACAGCGAAACACAAAGACTTCTTTGTTACTATTTTTGGGCATGTCTTCAAACAAAAGATTTAAGAAAAGGCATAAAGCAAAGCGTCTTCAATTGGGTGAAAGAGAAAAGAACAATGCCTCAATTAAATCCATAAAGTCATCTTAGACTCCCAACCCTCTTCGCCTCCAAGTTACTTCTCAATTCTCTATCCTACCAAATACTAAATCATCTGATAGAATTCACAACAAATACTTCACAGCAACTTCACCACCACCCCATCTTTTCACGAAAAAATGAGTCTCTCCAACAAAGGCGATAGTATCGTGGTCTTCACCCTTGTTACATTCTTCTTCATTTTCCTTTTCATCTTCCTAATCTATGTTCCCCGCTATATCTTTCTTAAGATCAAAAACCACAAAAGACACCAAGTCGAACAGAAATGAAAACTTGGTTTCAAAGAGGAGTTGAAATTACTGCATCTATAGGAAGACGAAATAAAGTGGAGAGGGATGCAAGAATTTCTCGATTTGAAGATATTGAGATGGGAGATATTTCGGGCTTTACGAGTGCGAATGTGAGGAGGGGTGCTGTGCTTGTGGCATTGCCGGAACAGGCTAGAGTTTCTGGTGAGAGATTGCCAAATTTAATATAAATGCTGGCATTTATGTTACTTGGTGAGTTTGAGAAGTAAGGTATAAGGTATGCTATGATGCTGGACATTGTCCCATACTGACAGGTAAGGATATAATTTCATTTTTTTTCTTCGAGTTTAATTTTTTCATATGTGAATATTAGGATTGTGAGTGACTCCAAAGATGTGGTCTATTTTGAAATCTCAAGGGATCTGGATAAAGGTATATGACTACTAAATAAACTAGTAATCTCCTTGTTTGACTAAAGAATAACAAGAGATAAAGACTCCTCTTGTTTGTGATTGTTCTTTGTACTTCTGACTGATCAAAGGCTGTACTCATCGCAATCTTTAATGTTTGAGCTCGCATCCTGTGATAAATCTCATAGTAATGTTTCCATGAGAAAGAACCCGCTGGAATTGTTGGAGTTTGTCTTGATTTCATAGAGGAATAACACTTCAAGGCACGTTCGCTTGTTATTTTGTGCTTGCTGAGCAATTTTAAGAATAAAAGTGCCATCGATAAAAGAGGTCGTGGGCCAAAATGTCTTTCTGCTCTCGAGCTAAATGTGCGCACTTTATCGGAAAAATGAAAAGACATGAATGGGTTTTCCAACTTTAGAAACATTCAAAACTCAAATCGATGGCTCGGTAACTGTGACTTACGAAGTCAAACCAAATCAACCAGCCTCGGCCCCACACATTCTGGAGTCTTGTGCTATGAACCACAGTATGCTACCCAAAGTGTCTGGTCCAAGTCTTGATTCCGGTGTTCGAGACTTCATCGACACTTCATCGAAGGAAGAGATCTCTTGTCTCATCTGCCACCCGAAGATACTAAACGTAGTTCAATTGATCGGATTCCTTGCAATGATTGAAAAACATACATTAGTTGCTATGAGTTTTTATGTATGTATCTCTTTTGTGTAGATAGAGAAGACCAGCTGCTATTGGTATTAAGATCTGCTTGAAGCTTCCAAGAATCCACAATATTCAAAGTACAGACTACTGAGACCCCCAAAAGTATAATCGCAAAGACTTTTGTTGACCCATAAAATATCAATCCCTCTTTCGTACTACCATGGTTAATAATGCTCAAATTTTCTAGATTTCAACCCGCAAACCGAACTAACACACTTTAACCCTAACTATAGTTGATGTAGGAATCCCTTCATTCACACCCCGGTGCAAAAGCAGCAGCAACCGAAATCTGTCCTTTGCTTACAGTAGTTTTGCCATTTTCAGTAGAGTACTTGGCATAATACTCCAGTAACATACCATTCAATTCGGGAAATATCTCAAGCTGAAATTGATAATGTGGCTTGACGATACTAATCGGTCCTCGCCTTACTGTTGTTGGCTTGATCAATTTTTTAGTGCGGAGGAAGGTCATGTCAAATATAATCCGGCCAGCTATTTGAGCATCTGGAAATGATATATTAACTATTGAGGACTTGTCTGGTGACGATAATCCAAATCTAGAAGATAACAGAATCGCACGGAAAGGGCGTGGACTCATCAAGACTGGTAAGAGAGAAAGAGACGAATTAGAAAAGGACGAACCATTATTTCTGTCGTGTGCCAAAGGAAAATGAGAAAGTCTTGCTTTATCCCAGACATAGAGCAATTCTTCGCATATAAATTTCTCTTCGTTCAATGGAAATGTGTAAATTGATGTGATAGGTGAAAACTTGTATTTTGGTGGGACAAGTTCCCCCTGTTGAAGAGTTAGTACCGCGTCGAATATTTATATTAGTGGAGTCAATAAGTAAGGTATACCTTGATGACAAAATAATTAATGACATGAACATATTCATCTCCATCAATTGGACATATTTCGCGATCTCTAATAAAGGTAGATTCAACATGCCCAGGATAACCCAGCAGGGGGTTCTTTTCATATGGCTCTCTACTGAAGGATCCGTAGCTGGATTGAGCTCTTCGCGCTGGACCGTTGGTTTTATTGAGTGCAGCTAGGACGGCACCACAAGATACCGCTGTGACTCTGTCCATCATTTGAGTCAATCACTAGCTGTAAACATTCGAAGAATATCTATGGAACTTACGGATATCCAGAGGCATCGTTTCCTGTCATTAATTTAATATCATAACCAACCTCAGGTTTATTTGACATCTCTCTTAAATAGTTTCGAAGATAAGACCTCAGGGATGGAGATGCTCCAAATCCTCCAAGTAGGAACACTTTCTAGAACATATGTTAGTTCATTTTGTAGAATAACAAAATCTCTTCAATGCATACCTTGACTTTTAGGTCCTTTTCAAGTGCAGTGAATAACTGGGTATGCAATAGCTTCTTTACCCGCTCCAGAAGAGGATTGAATGCTTCTTCCCAATCTTGTCTATTTCCGTAACCGAAGCTACGCTAGCAGGTTTTCATTTCGATCGAAAAGTTGATGCAGGGTAGAACAGACTTTATGATAAAGATATGACCATCGTCGAATCTTTTCTCTGCATTTGCCTTCAGGCCAGGAAGATGGAGACGAGTTTTTAGTCCGAAAACAGAGGTTACATCTTTGCGTCTCTTATGATCATTCTCAAAGTTCGGAATGAAACGATTGACAATTGATTCCAAGGATTCGCCGGCCGGCCACATATCGAGTAGATAACTTTCGTCTTTCAATTTGTTGAGAAGCATATTTTTTCCAGTTCTCATTGCGATAACTACTTCCACAATTGTCACCTCTTTAAATCAGCATGCTTAGTATTGTTGTGCAAACCTTTAACCTACCTCCTGGTGTAACCTTTTCCTCGCTCAATCTCAGAGGATGCTCTGTACCAATCTCATATGTGACCATGTCGACAGTTCCACCCCCACAATCTGCTATAATGAATGTTTCTCTCGGCTGCATAGAGTTTGTTAGTCGTGAATATCTCAAATTAAGCATTATGCATGAATGTATGAACTTACATGTACTGAGGAATTTCCTGCCAGCATATAAATTGCAGCTGCTTCTGGCTCAGACACAATATATGGTACGACAACTTTCTTCGTTGAAATATTTCCAAATTTTACAAGTCTTGCGGCGTTTTGTAGGGCAGTTTGAAGAATTCGGGATGCATTGGGACTCCAGATTGTTGGTACAGTCAAAGCAAACTCAACGACAGACTGACTAGAGAAGCTGTGGAGTTGAATGAGCTGCTCTTTGGTATGATTGAGAACTTTCACCAGAAAGTCCGTGAATATATCGAGCACATCTCTTGCATCAGGTTCATTTTTCGAACCATGTTTCCGAATAATGCCATTATCGATCAGAATCTCTATACTACGAAGTAGTTCAATACGGTCGTCATGCGTGTAAGCTGTCGGAACAAGGTGTAGCTTGGATCTTTTGACTCTAGTCCCGGTATTCCGGGAAATGTTTTCTCTGTACTGCTGGTGATGCACCTGGTAACCCCAGAGAAATTCCGAGGACTCGTTTCCATCTGACTCGGCATTTGCGTCTCCCACGTAAGTCAAAGGGTGATCTTTATCATCATATACGAATTCTTCCAATGTTCCATCGTGGTCGTCGGTATCTTGGGGCGCCTCCCTAGACAAAGGAATTGGTGAGTACCACTGTAAATTTAATTAGTAAATCTCAGGTATTTTGGATGCAATCTGAAGTAGATATGAACTGACTTACCGTCTCGGAAGGTACTTGAGGGCGAGTCCCACCAGCATCACCACTACTCAAATCATCTGGCCAGTTTTTAATGCTCAAAAGTTGTTCCGGAAAAGCTCGAGGATGCCGTTCATTGATAGGGTGGAAGAAATAGGATACAGATGTGAAGGTAGTTCCAAAGTCCACGCCAATGACAAATTTCTTTTCGGTCGTAAAATTCTTAGAATTTTCCCCAGCTATGCTCGCCGAATTAAACTCTCGTTCTCTCAGAGAGGATCTTGCGCTAGGCGCACTGCGTCATGCACTAATGCTCATTATTTGAAGTTGTTTGGGGTAGACTCGGTTTGGAGTCAAAGTCACAGATTAAGAGGGAGAAAGTAATGGTTCTTGTGAGGGGAAATAGATTTGGAGAATTGGACGCAAACAAGTATTTTAAAATGAATATTTGAATTTCGTGCCAAAATCTAACGGGCGTGTTTGATAATCAATGACTTGGTCCATTTTGAACATTTCAAGTGGATACAAACAAACGGATGAGAATTATTATGACGAATCAACATATTCTGACCAGCATCTCGGCAAGATGCATTTTTTCCTTTCACTGATGGTAACCGACGGGAAGCAACATCCATCAAGGATTCTTAGGCAGCAAGCTATCAAGGTTTCCACGCAATTCAAGAAGCCAGAACACCGTTTGAATTTACGGTAGTCGAATGTTTGAATAGCTTTCAGTGATCACTGTAGAAAGGCAAACGGTAATCTAAATTTGTGCTGGAAAGTCAACTATCTCTACATTTTGAATCGCAAATTATATTGGAAGCATCTGCGTGGTGTTTCTGCCCATTTTGAATCAGCCAAAAGAATCATTCAGTGAAAATGGGCTTATGGCCACTCGATCATGATGTGGTTCTCTTTGCTTGGCTCGACTTTTGCAAGAAACACGAAATAGATTGCTTGGCAACAATCGAACGAGAATTGAAAGAGAAGACTGAAATTTCTCGTTCAAGAGCCGCTGTATGTACCCACCTCCACTATATTGAGTGGAGATACCGCAAGCCAAATGAAAAATGCAGAATTCAGCATGATGAACTCGTGTCGCATATTGGAATTATTGAGACCGGATCTCAAGGTTTGCGGTACCCTCCGAAAGAAATGACTCCGAGAATCAGAAATGCTTTACGCGAATATGAAAAAGAGTACAGCCAAGATAGAATCCAAAAGTTGATGAAGGTCACATCCAAGAATAAGCCGAGCCAACTAAAAGTACAACCCCCTCCTCGAAGCTCGCCTCCAGTGAAGAAGCCAGAATTTTCATCAAGTCGCGTTCGAAAAAGGGTTTCACCGCTAGAGGACGGGGAGTATTCAAATAAAAAGAGATGTGTAGAAAAGGTACGCGTACTTTTGGTTCACTTGATCTGGAACGTGAATTCTTCCTACCAGCAGTTCGATTCAACTAACAATCTATCTCGAAACAGAACACTAAGTCAATTCCACCTCAAAAGCAGCGAAGAAAGCTTGAACTTCAAAGGCTTCAGCTTCCGTCTACACTAAAAAGTGCGAAGCTTCAACCGCTGAATGACAAGTTGCCCACCAAAACAAAACTATCAAATGTTCAACCAGAAATCTCACATCTTTCCAAAACCCCCTCCGTTGATGGAGAGGATGACGACAAAGTTACAGGACCAACTCAGAAACATATTGAGGAAGTTATATCAAAAAGTCAAGAAAGCTACAAGAATCGCTTGAAGGAGAAGGAAGCAGAAATAATTGCCATTCGCGAATACTGGGATTGCGACATTCGGGAACTCCACGAGAGAATTGAAAAGCTTCAACAAGCAAATCTGGAACTAGAAGCTAAGAATTCGAGTCTGGAATCAGCTGTTATCAATGTCCGTAATGCAGGAAGAAATCCATTGGCAGATATGATTGGTCAAAAGAACAGAGAAATCTGGAAATTAACTGATATGATTCACCGACAGTTTGAGGTATCAAATATCAAGGAGGCACAATTAAAATACATCCCACGTCAAGATGTTAAGATTGCGATGAAGGAAATTCGTCTGGAGTTAGAAACAGTGACTCAAATGCAAGAATTCTCAATTAGACCGATTTCAAAAGATTCGTGCAACGGGGACTTGGACCACTTGGTCAATTCTGCTTTTGCTTCTGCCGAAGGATCAATTGAAGGCAGGATTCGATTAAAGAGGCTGGCCTTAAGAATCGGTTCATCTGCGGTACTCAGCCTCTTGACCATAACTGCATTGAGAGACTGGGTTTTCCTAACAGATTGTCCACGGGTAGAGTTGGGATCTTTGAGTCTGATTGAAGCATATCGCGGCATTGCTTTTAATTAAGGTGAGCACTTTCGTCGATGTTTTTCGTCTTCTGATCATTCAAAACGACAGCATTATATCCTATACTTCTAGCTTTGGGGTTATTGTGATTATCCAGAATACTAATTCAAGAATAACAGGCCGATGGGATGAATTACGATGTTACGATTTCGGGGCATTCAAGGAACACATGAAAAAATCATACTTTAAGGAAGAATTGATTCGTACCGCCAAGCAGCTTTCGTGTCGGTTGTCAAGGAAATTAAGCCTTATATTCGGCAAAAGTCTTGAAGATATGGTAGAGAATGTCTCCTTTCACACGTGGGGTGAAGACTTGGAATCCTGGAAAGAGAGACAACACCACTTTGAAAAGCTTTTTCGGATTGCCTTGGAGTTGAAGAGTGACTATATAATCACGGATGATACCTATACCTTCGAATTTCTTCTGAATGAGACACACGCCAACAAGCCATTTGATGAATCGGAAGCTCCTGAAGGTTTTTGGCTGCGATTTTCTATTGGCGCATACAAATCGAAATCATTGGTGACTCAGGATGAAAGGGTTAGTGCGCTCGTCCAAACACGGAATTTTTTATCCTCTGTAACTGACGACTGGATTTGCGACTACCGGAAGGACCTATATCTCAGTATTAATCGAGCACATAATCCCGAAATCATGTTATCGCATAGCAGAGATTCAAGTAGACTCGCTGGGAGATCTCGGACTGATAGTCAAAACCTAGAGCAGGAGGCCTTTCAACCAGAAGAGCCTGGTACCTCGGAGATGACTTGCAACAATAGTGTTAGAATTGACGATATATCCGGACCGATGAGGAACATCCCACAGCTTCCTTGACAACTCTCTGGTATGTCATCAGAGCATATGTGCAAGATATGCAAGATGAACTTTGAAAAAAATCAAGGTTTGAGGTCGCATCAGAGAAATAGTAAGTTGAGATGATTACTTGAGAGATTGTACTAACATTCTTTCAAGGAACTTGTAGGCGATGTAAGGCATGTCGAAAAGTCTGGCCAACGATAGCTGCTTTGAAAGAACACAACAGTAAGAATCATAACGAAGAAATTGAAGATCTTGTGTCTAGCACGAGTGATCATTTGGAGCCACAGCCAGCAGCAATTCCCATTTCACACCGAGAGACTAAATCGAACGTGGCCATTGAAGAAGGTATATGTGAGGAGGATGATATCGAGGAGAATGATCTCGAGGAGGATGATGTCGAGGATGATGTCAAGGATGATGTCGAGGAGAATGATGTTGAGGAAAATGATGCCGAGGAGGATGATGCCGAGGAGGATGATGCCGAGGAGGATGATGCCAAGGATGATGCCGAGGAGGATGATGCCGAGGAGGATGATGCCGAGGAGGATGATGCCGAGGAGGATGATGCCAAGGAGGATGATGCCAAGGATGATGTCAAGGATGATGTCGAGAAGAACGATCTTGATTTGTACTCCGCAAAAGCCTTGGAAGTTTTGAGTAATGGAGAGGCAGATCATCCCCGCACCAAAAAATCTCGAACATGTTCAATTAGTGAGATACCCAGCAGCATCGATTTCGAGCAAGAAGAAGGAGAAGAACCAGGATCGGCAGGATCAGTCCCGTGCCTCCTTTCTACAATTGAAACAGACGATGTCAACCTTTTACCTAAAGGAAATAGGACTAGTGGCGAGGAAATTGACTCCGCTTCACAAGAAACAGAAGGCGAGGGACTAATGACCTCAGAAATTAAACACGCGTGGGAGAAAGTTGAGTACGGCGAAGGGGATATGGTTGGGTCTGAACATTATAGGCATCAATCTAATTCGCAGACAATAAAAGAACTTGACTGTCTAATCGAAATAGATTCGGATACTTTTGACACCAAAGAAGACGCGGCTCTTGATTTATATGGACAAAAAAATGAAGCCGAATCCGAAAGTTCAAGTACTACTGGTTCTTCCACAAGCGACATAAATTTAGAAACTTTAGGGACTCAATCTCCGGATCACTAGATCATTGCAGAGGGTTACGACACCTCAAACATTTTATTCGAAAGTCCTAGACTAATACCTGAAAGACGCGCAAGCCAATTGTTTTTGGTAACCACTGAGGACAAAGAGGCCGCGGATGAAGATGCGGATGGATACAGGAGTCCTGAAAATTTTATTGCGGAAGAACCCAAGAGTATGAATGCCGCTGAGGGAGAGAGTACCGAGTTGGGCGAACACCACGGTGGTGAGATCAACTTATATGATGGGAATATTGGAGTTGACCATAATGACGACGACCAAACAGAAGAAAACAAGAACTATGAAAGTCATGGTGTTGATGACGAAGAGGGTGTAAAATTGGACGATGACGATGGCAGAGAAGCCCCAGATAGTAGCTTCACTGGGGGAAAAACAGACGAAAACGAAATCATTAACGGTACAGGGACAGCTGAAGCAATGAACGGAAACATCAAAAACATCATCAGGGAAATGTGTGAAAAGTATACCGCTTGGATTACAGTCACCACAAATGAAACCACGGAAGTAGCGAGCAACGAAAGCATTGCGGATATATTCAAGAAACTTTGCGAAGATTTCACAGGTGGTGAAGTCAATATATATCAGACTCCAGAAGCAGATAGTGAGAAGCCCATTGACGTCGATGATATTGCATATCATGAAGCACAGGAACCCGAGGGGGTAGATGTCACTACGAAGCAGCATATTGAAGACTATGTCAACAACACTGATATGGCGAAAGACGAGAGTAAAATCGAAGTCGAGAATAAAGATTCTCTCCTGGAGCACAAAGTCGAGGAGGATAGAGTCATGGATGAGGATGCCGACGTTCACGACGATATGACTGCTGGAACAAAAATCGAGAAAAGCATCGAGTTTTCAACCAATGAACGAAATGACACGGAGAGTGACCAGCCACTCGCACGAGCAAATCAGAGCGCGGACAAGTCAATTGGTCGGAATTCTCCTGTGAATAAGGTGCAAGAACAAGACTCGAGTCTTGGGAATGAAAGCAACTACGGTAGGCCTTTGGTGTGGCTTTGTGACCGTTTCAGCAGGTCGCAACAACAAGGCAAGTCAAATGGTGCGGACGTTCAACCGGAAGTACAGTTGAAAGTGCAATCGGAGGTGCAATCGGAGGTACAATCGGAGGAAAAGAAAGATTTGGAACTCGAGGAGGGCGATATCGATGAAGTACAAGTCGTTCCCACGGAGTTTGCATATGATTGATTGAATAACGGAAGGGGGTTCTTGTAATTGGTATGCTATCTACAAATATGAGGTAATTGAACAACAAAGAGACGATGATGAGAAATCGAGAACCTATGAGTGTGATGCTTTGATAGAGAAGTGAAGATGGGCATGATATTCGACAAGCCACTAGCTCCGTCTCAATCTAACACGTGATCTGATGCTGTCCAAGCTTTCAAAAATATTTCAGGCTTTAGCCGTGAGTTTAGTGTCACATTACAGGGCCTGTAGGCTTCTCGGTCGCAATACCTACAGCGACATGTTTTGAAGGCTGAACTCAATTTCACCCCGTCCACCAGGTCCCTTAACATCTAGAAACATATTAAAAGCTCCCAAATATCAATTTGCAATGCGGGAGAAGTGATCACACATTCTTAGCTTCCTACCAAACAACATCTTCTAACGACAATGATCATACACTCCAATTCCACTACACTACGTTAGGGCTTACCTATTTACATCCATCCATCTCCACGCTCCACCATACCAAGATGTACATCTACAAATGGATACTCATCACTCTAACCATCCAAATTGCCCACTTATCTCACCATTCCTACCAATCTAAAATCAGTCCTTCACCCCGCAAAATGATCAACAAAGGCCTCCACTCTTTCTTCCCCATTACCCCAGCACCATCAACGGCAGCCTTAGCTCTCTTGTCCACAACCTCTTTATTACGAGGCGCAACGGCACCGATTAGATGTTGCGAAAGTATTCAAACACTTGCTTCTGCGGAAAATTGCAAGAGCGGTTGTATGGAATGTATTCGGGGTGATGTGGTCTTAACGAAGGCCATATATATGGACTCTGGAGAACGATAGTGTGTTGTCAACATTGAACATGAGATAAATGTGTCTCTGGTTTAAATGGAGACGGAAACTCATCGAGACTTTAAGTTTAGGTACAATCCACAATCATTACCAAAATACTTTCGGGCAAATAGATTGTTTCTATAATTATACTTCGTTGAGTAACAACGAAGCTGATCTAGCACGAAGTGTGTGCTTTCGAGAGACTATGCGCCAGCAGTAAAATTATACTTGCTCTATTATCCCTCCCCTCTCCAGAAATTCTATACCATGCAATAATTACAGTATAGTGCATTATTTATTTTTTCCTTTCGCGCCCTATACCCCAAAACTCCACCAAAACTCCAAATGATTTCAAAATCTACTACTTCAGCTCCATCATTGATCACTCTCCACCAAATATTTCCCCACAATCATCCACCACCAATCACCCACCTCCCAACCTTCCATATCTTGGGCCTCTCTAGCAGTTGCTCCCAATCCTTCATAATCACATTTTTGCCAAACACCCCTTTCAGCTCCCCAATCAATCAGTTGTTTGATTTCCCATGCGTCGAGACTCGGTGCGAAAACTCTTTCCAATCCCTCGATGTCAATACTACTTCGTAGAACGAATGCACCGGTAACTCCTAAGAGTACTTTTCTCCACATTCCCTCAATTAATTCTCCTGTTATACTTCTCCAAACCGGAAGTGCACCTCTCGCCCCAACAAATGGAGGTTCCGAAATCATGGCGTCAAGGTTAGGTATTGCGTGGTTATAAACATAACTTGAAGTGGGTGCGATATCCATTTGAAAACGATATTTCGCTTTATCAATAAGTCTTGTTTCATATCCGCCTTCGGTGAGACCGAATTTGTTCGCTCTGATGTTACTTTTTTGAATGTGAATACATCCATTAGCTTGTAGATTCGTAATAGCCAATACGGCACCTTCATTCACACCCCAAGGTATGTTCACAATAGTCTCCCCATTTTGAAACTTCTGATCCAATTCACACTTGAATAAATAAGCCTCTCGGTATTGTTTCTCGAAAATGATCTTTCCCGTACGAACAAAAACGGCGTTGAAAGCATCTGGAAGATTGTAAACTCGACCATTAGTACGAAGGCGTTTATTTTTGGTGATTATCTTGTTCTTCAACAAATCTTCTCTAGCTTCAATGATGATGGCACTTGGAAGACGATTGAGCAACTTATTTGCTGCTTTGCTATCCCATAAATGATCTGGTGTAACTGCTGCGGCCCTACACCAAGATTTTGCAAGTGCATAGTCGGTTATCTCGCAATTGAGAGCATCTGGTTTCAATGGATTTGAAAAGGGTACAGAATTGACAAGATTCATTCTTTGATAAACAGCAGCAAGGGTGTAATAATACTGTTCGGACCAGTAATTACTTCGAGTCTCGGGCACTAGTGCATATTTTTTCTTGAGTTCTGGGAATGAATTTGGGAGGTCAAAGACTTTTTCTTCTTGTGTGGGAGTGTTGATCTTTGACATGGCCCAATCGATTAAAGCGTTGAAATCATAGTCGACAATATGATCATAATCGATTGATTGAACTTGACCTTTTCGATATCCCTTGATGAAAGCTTCCTGGAAATCTTTTGTCAATTTGTCGACCATTGGCTTTTTCTTGACCCAAACAACCTGCCACCATTTCCTCAGGAAATTCAAGGAATAATCTTTAAAGACCGTTCCAAGAATAACCCAATCAATGTTCATTTCTAATCCTCCAAGCATGGCTCGAATGATAACAATACCCATTGTCAACCTCGCTTCTTCATCAACAGCTAAACCTTGCTCCTTGAATCTTTGTCTCTTTCTGCGAATGTTCATATCGTAGTTGACCATTTGAGTACCGAGCAATTCTGCCGCGTATCGAACATCTCTGTGAACACCAAGAAGATCATCCGGCGCAGATGTGAGACGTCTAGGCATTACCCATTTGTTTTTCAGACCTTTACGTACACCTACATGTGGCTCTTTTTTCTGTTGCCTCTTTCGTTTGGCCCCGACAATGGTATCTTGCTCTGGTGGTAGATCATCATTGTCTTCGAGAGCTGAGTATGGTATAGTTTCCAATGAAAAAGCAGTACGATCAAGCCATTGCATCTTCAGCTTTTCAGCATCGGTGCAAGCTACAAATGGATGAGCAAGATTCCACAGTCCAGCAGATTCATCGAAAAACAAATGGGATAGACCTGGTGTCGCAGGGGTAGATGGTATGGAATCCAAACCAGGATTGTTCTGGCGACCAATTTCCTTTTCTAGTGGTTTAGCTTCATAGTGATTCAGAATATCGAGTTCAGTCAAGCCATTAATACTAGCTTCCGTCAAGTCCATGGGATCTGGGGTTAGTGATCTATAAGCTCGCTTTGCAAGACCAGTATGTCTTGATATATCAGGATTCTTTTGTGATCTGGTATAATATGTATAATTTCGTTTTGGCTGTCCAGTAGTCTTTGAAATCTCTACTTGACCATCTGGTCGATCAACAAGATCTCCCCGCAGATTCTTGTTGAGAAAGAACTTTGATGGAACGGAAGGACGCATGATTGGTTTGTTAGGATGAATGACTGGTCGGTGACCATCTTCCCGTTGCTGAAGATAATGTTCGCCTTGGGGGTTTCCAATAGTAATCTTATTTGGTCTCGCAAATATGGGATTTACACCATGTCCAAACGGTCTCACAGACCAAGAACCAGAATCACCTTGTATGAACGTAGTTGGCTCCGGAAGACGCTCTCTCAGCTTGTAAGTTCTTTTTGGTTTCGCAGGTGTATTCCATGCGCTATTCGCCGGATTTTGTAACATTGTTGAATGTGATGACCATCCATGTTCCTGTGAAGCAGCTGTACGCTTTCTTCTTTCTAGGTCTTCGAGATTGGAAGTGTGAGCAGGACGTCTCATACGAGGTTTTATTGATTGACCACCATCGACATTTGCCGGAACCTGTTGGTACAGCGGATGAAATTGCAACTCTCGCGTAGGGGTAGATCCTGGAAAGGGTGAAAACTCGCTTCCAACGTCTGAATCTACATCGAGGTCCATTGGATCATCTTCAAGGTCATCCTCGGCATCCAATGCGTGGACCTCAGGTTTGAACTCATCATCTGAAGAATCACCCCTGCCTAGCTCCTCATCATATCCCAGTACATCATTAAGTTGCGTTTCTACAATCTTCGGAGCCAAAGGAGGAAGCTTTCCAATAGAATTCAAAATGTTCAAAATGACACTTGGAGGAGAAAATCCAACTGGAATGTAAAAATCAGGATGCTTTGCTTTTGTATCATCTTGCATTTTGGTAATATCAGCTGAGGATGGAGTAACCGCTTTTGGATCAAATAAAATGCTCCTGGTTATAGTCCTGCTCCTAGCACCTGCAAAGTCAAATGTGATCTTTGAAAGTTTTCCGTCCTCAAGTAACTCATCAAGAGCTCTCACAAATAACTTGTGTTCTGGAAGCACCCTAGAATTATGATAATACTTGAGCCAACATGCAACAAATGCGAACCAAAGGCCACGCTCTCCCGGTAAAGCATTGTTATTAGCCCGAAGAAGACAAAGAATGATATCTTTAACAACCTTCTCTTTCGAAAATGGTGATACAGATTTTGGAAGTGATTGTTCTGAAGTTTGAGGTAATGACGGGATTTTGGCAAGTTCTTCAACGAGCGATGGTTTCTGCTTGACAATTTCAGCAATTTCCAAAAGTGCTGGTCGTTCCCCTCCCAAAGACTTGTAGACTTTTCCATTTCTACCAATGACCGGATCTCCTCGATCTCCTCTACTTTTGTTTGGAGATTTTTTTCAACCCAGCGACTTTAGCAGCCCATTCAAAAATGGAGTCATCCGAGTCGCCGTGTTCAGACTCGGAGTCAGATTGATCTGACGGTTCAGGTTGAATTTCTTTCTCTGGAGAAGCCACAGATTTACTTTTTGCCTTTGTCACTTTCTCCTTTTTCGGCGTCTCCTTTTGTGGTTTACCGTACTGGCGTGGCTTGGTAGACGGAGCCTTCCAATTTGGATTGCAAGTCGTTTGTGATTTAGAAAGATGATATTTAATACCTTCTTTATTCTTGAACCTGGAGCCACATTTCTCACATTTCCAGGGCTTAAGAGCGATCACTTCTGGATCTTCTGCCTGGATTATCTGAGGATTAGCCATTTGTACAAAAATTCGGGCAGTAACCAAATTTGCTCTCATTTCATTTGCAGACTTGTGAGCTTCTTTGGTGCGAGCAATCAAAAATCTATGAGCAGTAATAGATTCATCATCCATCTTCTCTTTCAGGCGTAACTCCATCGGATTCGAACCCGGCATAGACACGATTGGGTTTTCGGCCATTTTAAAAACTTGCATCGTCCAAATAGGGTCAATTGTGTCTTCAGCCATTGGCCAGAATTTCAATGTCGTTTTATCAGAAGATAAGATTAGATTTCCCATCACAGAATTGTAAATGGAAGACATGCGAGCAAAGATTGATTCAAATGGAATAGCGTCGGCCTTTTCGAATCCTTCAAGATCATCGGGGTTGGCTGGTGGTGGTACTGCTCCGGTTAACTCGGCGATAGATGTTGAGGATTCTGGCAATATAGAACTCATCTCCGATGAGATTTGGGGGCTTGGTATCCTTTCAATGTTGGGAATCGATTTTTCCCGTTGCTTCAATTCTGCAGTTGGTTCGGGACCGGGCTGAATAGACGGTGATCTTTGGGATTGAGCTGGAATGGGATCCACTGAAGTGAACTTAGACTGAGGTTCTACAGTTTCGGAAGATTGGGTTTGATGAGACGCATGATGAGGTTGAGACTTCTCCAGAGACCGCATTAATGCGGGATCTTGAACAGAGGAAGAAGAGGCTTGTACTTGTGTTTGAGATAATGCGTGAACTTGAGCCTGCTGTTCAATATCGGGTCTATACGGGTGTGCATGACTGTTGGTAGAGGGAGAAGAGTGAGGTAAAAGTGTTGGGGACTGAGTCTGAGCCTTTCTCTCAATTTCTGGTCGGGCTGGGTGTGCATGGCTGTCGGTAATTATCGCATGTTGTTTTGATAACGAAGAGTCTATTGGACCGAATTGCTGGCTGAGAGGCGAAGATACTTGCAGTTGTCCCAAACTGTCTTTTCTTCCCACAAGACTCTGTGGTTGTTGAACCTTTGTAGAAACGGTAGTTCTAGAATATGGGGGTGAATCGTATGGAACGGGCGAAACAGTCCCAGGTTGAAATACATGGGGGTTATTTGTTGACCTGGGACTACCATATGGAGCTAGACCGTTGGTAAGATTCTCTTGCGATGTATGAGATGATGTAGATGGATTTAAGCTATGAGATACAGAAGCAGGACTTGATTGCTGGATTGAATCTATACTCATCGGACTAAACGGAGAGGCTTCCGATGGTAGAGCATCTGGAGCTAAGAAACCTGCCGGCCATTGAATCTTAGGTCGTGTCTGAGGCGGCTTAGGAGGTGATGGGGGTAAAAATCCTGCAGGACATGAATCTTGCTTGGATCTTGACGGTCTTGGCTTTGTTGAATAGGACTTTGATGCATAGGACTTCGATGATCCGGGGTATGAATATGAGTCGGATTTCTAGCTAGCCAAGGGTTCGGGGCTGGGAATGTAGGTGTAGCCTGTCGACCATCTTCATACGGAGGCCTATACCTATCGGCTGGAGAAGGTGTAGATATAGCTGGTGCACTGCCAAGGTATGGTTGATAATGGCGACCAGCGACTTGTTCATATTCAGACAGCTCTCTGTACGGTGAAATATGAGAATTGAGATTTGATACTGGTGGTAGAGAATTTCTCATAGTTGCATGTGACTGGTTTGTTTCAATGACCCATTCCATCGTGTTGGTTGTGACTGTTGCATAGAAGCCGAACGAGCTTCGGTCTGAATTGAGTCAGCTTGGTGAGAAAATTCATTATTGAACTTTTCAAATTCTAGTGCTAATTCTTCGTTTGACGGGAAAGAGTCGGGGTGTGTGTTGAAGGTTGATGATGGCTTTGTAGCTGATAGGGCCTTCAACTTTCGAACTCCAGTGCCAGTTCCTCATTTGATGGGAAAGAGACAGAATTGAGACTGGGTCTTTCCAGTGGCTTTGCAGGCCTAAGCATTGGAACTTCTGCAGTCTTTTCAGTCTCAACAATGGAGGCTTCTGACGGCTTTGCCGTTACAGCACTGGGCGCCTCTGGGAGAACTTCAGGTCCAGGAATGGGCGTATCCAAAGATTTTTCAATCCCAGCACCAAGCAATTCCAAATGGCTTTTGTGGTTCGGTATCTGATGGCTTTGGGCGCTTTGAGCTGTCTGTTTCAAATTTCTCGTCTCTTTTTCTTTTCTTGGGCTTTTCCTCTTCAATAGCAGCGGCAATCTTTGCAGCTTCCGACTCAACTTTAGATTGCAGAGCTTTTCTTCTCTCAGCAAGTACCTCAATCCATGTTCCCTTTCGATTCTCCAACAAATCAGGGTCACGAAGTTTTGCAGATTTTATCAATACAACAAACGTCTTTTTTCGAGCCAGCGATCTGCCTTCCTTAGAATCAAGAGGATTAATGTAGACGCCATCGATTCCGGCTTTGCGCTTCTTATCATCTTCTTCCCTTAACAAGTCTTCATATGAGGTGAAAATTGGTTCACGGTTGCCTTCTGTGGGGCTTAGATTTGACGGTGCAGGAGAAGCCTCAGATTTTCCAGATTTTCCGACAACCGCAGGCTCAGGCTCTGGTGATTCTGTTTGAGTAGGGGGTAAAGAATTTTCTGGGTTTTGGTTGTCTGCGAGATGTACGGAGTCCCGATTCTGAAATTTGAAGTCCTGTGTCGGCTGTATCCTCAGAGGTCATCTCTGGGCGCGACTCACTAGAAGTTCTTGGCGTTTGACTGTAGATCCTTTAGGACGACCACGTTTTTTGGGCGCAAGTTTTGGAGTTGAAAAAGATTCCAATTCGGCGAGTGACGAGAAGCTCATAGATGCAGGGTCCTTCGGAGAACCCGTTTCTATTGCTGAACCGCTAGGAGTGGCTTGACGACCTGTACCTTTCGGACGACCACGCTTCCGTTGTCCCGGTACAGGTCCATGACGAGTTTACTTCCCGCGCAAAATAATCAATATCATCTGCAACAGCCTCAATTGGAGTTGTCTGTTGGGCACCTTTACTAGGGGCGCTGCTTGATTGTGGAGATTGGTATTGATATCCAACTATAGGTGCAGATTGACCATTTCTTGATGAGTGTATTTTATTGGATGTTTTTGGGATAACTTATGTGTACTTCATCGCGTTGCTTATCGCTGGTTGTGGTGGTAGTATTTTGAGGCTTGTTCTGACGAATCTGGACGTACAATATGAGGGTCTACGATGATAGTATCTGCATTGGTCTCTGGTGAATTATCAATCTCAGGTGTTGGTGTATGGGTACTTTGGGCCGGAGGATGTCCATTACTTTCGACAACCTTCGGTTCATTATTATTTGGAAGAGGGGCAATTTTCGGAGTGTGAAACCCGTCAGCCTCGGCGCGTGCTGCATTTAAAAGACTTTGCAATCTTCTTTGCGAACCTTTCGTACCTCGTGGATCGTCTGCAATCTTGTAAGACTTCTATTTCCAGACATCGGCTCAGAGGAAGGTGCTGCCTTTGTAAATGATCCGTTCGGGATCGAATCCAATTGTTCCTGGGTTCTGGTGATTGTTGCATCGGAGTTGTCACATCCGGAATGACTGAGCCAGGGACTGCTTTCCTTAATGAATCATTACTGACAGTGGCAAGTTGCTCCATTGGCTCTCGTGCTCGCTGTATCGGCGCTGTTCTATCTAGAATGACTGGTCTGGAAGGGTCGATCAGGGCTATTGAGGTAGCAGGCTGTTCGTTGCTACTCGCTATCCTCTTTTCCGAATCCTTCTCGCTGAGTTGCTCCAAGGCGGTATCAACCATTTCAACATCAATTGGCTCTGCTTGTACCACAACCTTTCTGACACCATAGCCTAGAGCGACTGTATCACTCAACTCCAACTCTTCATTACACCAACCTCTTCCTCGGAACCCTCTATCCTAACGTCATTCCGATTGATAAAATCTTGCCAGACCTCATCTTTGATTTGCTCATTCGCAACAATTTCTTCCATGAAATTTTCATCAAACTTCTCAGAAAGACTTTGTATAGCGATTCCTAGAAATTTTCCATCAGTAATGATCTCAACCTTGCGAAGTCTCTCTCCCTATGATTAACAGAGGCGGGTGATCTTCTTGGTCGATCACACGTGATGGACTATCACATCGCATTCGCGAGAAACTCCAAAAAAATGATGAAAAAGAGTGCCCCGCTCTCTCAAATGCGACTACAGACCACTGGACCATCGTAACATTTTTGTTGAAACAAGTCTGCTCGTGAAGGAAACCGTGGGTATCGATGACCCCAGTCACACAATATCCAATAGAAGGATTAAAGGAATAAATTTTGACAAGGCTGAAAAGATTTTGAATATAAAATTTGACTCACCCTGCTTCCCTAAGCTCTTCACGAATTGATAAAACCAATCCATTACTTCCTCTTTTCCTTTTGGCATTGTGAAAAATTATCAACTCGCATTGTCTTATGAATTAAACGCGAATGCAATTGATAGAAGCAATAGAAATTTATCAAATATTGAGGTTGTAAAAGTTGAAGTTGTAACTGTAGAATGTTTATATTTTTGCGACATGTGAATTGAAAGACAATTGATAAATCTGCGATGAAGGCTTTGAAGCTTAAAATTTTAAGCGGGTATTGCGGGGTTTTTGGTAGCCTTGGTGCATGCACTAGTCAGATCAATGATTGGTCAAAGTGAAATTTGATAAGGCTATGACCTCGAAGTGAATGGATTAATTGGAATTGGAAACCAATAATGACGAGCAAGGCTGATGAAAATTACTTGGTTTGATAAAACGAAAGTATTCGGAGTTACTCAATATTACTAGTTGATAAGTTTCTCAACGAGAAGATTAAAAGATTCGTATTTCTTGTTATCTTAAAGTAAATTGGAGGTGTTCCGTTCAAGTATATTACTGTGACTTGACTTTATCCTTGTGAGCCTTCATCATTTGTCTATATGATTCAACAATATTCTTCCTCTCTTCTCCCAATTCTTCTCTTCTCCTTAAACTTCCAGCTGCTTTGGGTACATCTGAAACTTCTACCTTGGCTCCTTGGAGCTCCTTAAACTTGGCTTTAGGAACTTTGGTGAATGTCGGCGGAGCCTGTACCACATCATTCAACCCACCCTTCACTTCACCTCTATTCTTCGCGATTATTGCCCAAGGATCATCATTTCCATCATCAATTTCTCCCAGAACCTTTTTCTTCTTCTTTTTATTCTTGCCTGTCTTTCCATCTGTGTTTATGTCGGATTTCCACTGCATTTGCCCTTCTCCATCCATCTCCATGTCGTCCTCCTCCCTCAATTCTGCTGCTTCTTGTCGTTTCTCTTGAATCTTTTTCTCTTCTTCTCTCCATTCATCATACATTCGATGCATCTTCTTCTCCGTCTTGGTACGTCCCTGCTTGAGACCTAATGGATCTTTACCACCTTTAGCACTTTTATGAATCAATCCTCCAACTGGTAATGCCGCATCAACTCTTGCTGAAAACTCCGACATCTTTTCTCCGGGTCTAATTTTGGGAATTTCCATGGCTGGCTCTTCTTTCTTTGGTGTTGAAACATTCTTCTTTTCCGAATCATCATCGTTATTCTTCGCCTTTTTGGCTTTTGGTTTTCTCAATCCATCATCTAATCCTTTGGGTAATTTCTGTCCGGATTTAAAGGCCATAAGCCTTGCAAATGCTTTCGGTGTGTCATCGTCCGCATTGGTATTTCTCTTTCTCTTTTTGTTTTTGCGCGTAGGATTTAGTTCGCTGGTAAAGATTCCGTTGGCATTGCTGGATTTAGAAACAGGTAAAGGTTTTGCGATAGTAGTGGGTGGTAGGTTAATACTATTGAAATATTGGGTCAGTGATTGAATGTGAAAATCATCTTGATTGGAGAACTCATACGTAGATTTATCATCCCCCCCTTTACGTGTATGTTTATGCGGCATATTTTCTAAGTGATTGAAAATAATGTAGTATCGTTGTTGTCATTGAAAATCTCTTGTAATCCAGGTTTGCGCAAAGAGATCATGGAAATTAAGTTTTTCTGCCATGAGGTCTTGGGCGGTGAGCTCCTTAGCTTGGCATCGTTGATATGGATCCATTGCACAATTCTAGACTTAAGATCTCCCATAACAGCCACTCAAATTAAGAGAAATGGCATTGTCAAATCAAACACAATCAATGATAAATTGAAACGCCAATAACATAACTTTATGGCATATCTACCATCATCTCGTTCAATGAACTTACAGAATATTTTACCATATAATATTATCATGCTACCTCCACTCTTAAACCTAAAACCTGAGAAAATCACAAAACGATGGTCTCGTTCCCAAGTAACTCTGCATTTGATGGAAGATCTTGAAGCATTCTTAATGGTGGCTTTTAACACGTGCCCAACGAATGCGGCACGATTGTCTTTGATGTTCCCCGATAATTGACCCTGATGGTCTAGATCCATTTGTTTGTTCCATGGGGTAAGACTGAAATGGCATATGAGATGAAGGCGTCGAAAGGTGTGCTTGATCTATAGGAAATGCTTGGACATGTGACCGAAAGCAGAATCATATCCGGGGATACATGTAGTCTTACGTTGAGATGCAAAATGTCTAGAGGATCAATGTGACCATACAAAACATGTTTTTAGAATCATTTGATTCTAGCAAGTCACAATTGAAGAAACTCTGCCACCAACATTTCCATATTAGTTATTCCTTAATTTTTTTTACTTTTCCCATATTAAATTCTTCATTCCCTACATAAGTCTTTTCCTCTCTCCCTGGCAAGCATGATCCTTTAACTTTCTCCTGAATCATACAATATCACGCAGCTGCGGGTATTTTCTACAACCCCATACGAACTTCCCAATCAGAAAGCTTCAGTCTCATCCAAATCCTCACCCTAAAAAAATCCTACTTGCCCTACCGTTACCAACAACTGTACTAGACCAAATGTCAACTGTTTTACATATAAGGAAATACTTCAACCCCAACTACCATACGAGCTCTCCTTCATCGCCTCATCCTGCTGTTTGATTTGTCAGCAGTGACATTTTCCTCCAACAAGCGCACGGAACTTGGGGTCTGGAGGGCGCTTTGAATCTACACCAAAATAGCAAAACTGTCTCAAGTATTTAATACCTCATAATTGTCCTTCGAAACTTGGTCCAAGCAATTATTCAGACTCAAACTACTCGTACAACTGGTATTCAAGTCAAATATTAAAGGGGATTCTTCGATTCGATTTGGAATTGTTCTAAACATTTCTATTTATACTGGACTGAACGACCCTGCCAAGACTCCCAACTTTGTTCGATAAGACTATCAACACGGGGAAAACATGTCCCACTTATCATCCCGTCATGGCACCGAAGCTACTGAGATATATGATGAAATGACGGAAATGTTAAATGGTTCCATACGGAATTCTCATGATGACGATATCCAAGCTTCAAATTATTCATCTAGTTTCTTAACTCGTTCTGGTTCACCAATGGAAAAATCAAGGAAACCAGCAGATTCTTTCGAATATTCGGATACACCGACTCTTCGAGATGAATTCATATCAAGACCGAGGAATTCGAATCAGACGAGTAGGGCGAGATATTGGTTGAATAAGATGACTTTAAAGAGTAGGAGGAAATCATCATTTAATGAACATGAAGGATTTGAAGATCTCAATACAGATACAACTTCAGATGTTGGGGATGGGTTATTGACGGGTTTACATAAAACGACCAGGCAGCAAACGAGAAAGAATGGAATATTCAATTATTTCGTCTTTGGGGGGATAAGTGGTCTAGGAATATTGTGAGTTTTTCAAACATTCTCTATACTTAAGAATTTGGTACTGATACCTCTTAGATCAATTCTCCTTTTCACAAATCTTATACTCGGGGCCGCAACATTATTTTGGGGTCATGATATTGATGACGTTTTAAAAAATTGGGGGAAATCTGGAACAGGTACAGAAAATTTAGCTTGGTATCCAACCGACTTCACACGAGATATAAATCCTGTTCCATGTCATTCGCACAATGATTATTGGAGACGAGTACCATTATTCGATGCATTAAGAGCAGGATGTACAGGAGTGGAGGCAGATGTTTGGCTTTTCGATAATGAGTTATACGTTGGACATAATACTGCATCATTACAACGAAATCGAACATTTCAATCCCTTTACGTTAACCCTCTTGTCGAAATTCTCGAACGACAAAATCCAACTACTGATTTTTACAATGGAACAAATCATGGAGTTTTCGATGCGGATGATGGGAAATCCCTAACACTTTTAGTGGATTTGAAGACTGATGGTGCAGAAACATGGGAATGGGTCCTCCAACAACTCGAACCATTACGAAAACGTGGGTGGCTTTCTTACGTGGAGAATGATACTTTACATACTCGACCTATTACTGTTGTTGGAACGGGCAATACACCATTCGATGTCCTTACCAAGAATTCAACATATCGCGATGCATTTTTTGACGCACCACTTGATACAATGTGGGAATCAAAACATGTTACTGAAGAAATGAAAGATTGGTCTAATCTTGAAGACGATGCACAAGAAGAAGGGTTAGATAAAGATCAAGAAGATGCAGAGGAGCAAGTCTCTGAAACTTCAACCTCGAGTGCTGTATCGATTCCAGCGAGGAAACCTATGCCGATTCCTCATAAGAAACCAAATAATGGACAGGGTATGTCTGGTGTATCACCAGATACTGATTTTAATCCCTTGAACTCATATTACGCATCTGTTTCTTTCAATAAAGCAGTGGGTACAATATGGAGAGGAAGGCTAAGTCCTAAACAAATGAAGATCATTCGTGGGCAACTTAGAGGAGCACATAGAAGAGGATTGAAGGCTAGATATTGGGATCTGCCAAGTTGGCCGATTGGGTTAAGAAATCATGTTTGGGATGTTCTTGTTAAAGAAGGAGTCGATTACTTGAATGTAGATGATTTGAGAGCGGCAGCAAAACAAGCCTGGTGACGAGATTTATGGATTTTATTCTCTGACAAGAGTTTGCAAAGACAACGACGATGGATTGTGTTAGGCATAGTGGGGTGTGTATATGATGTTGAGCTGATGATCGATCATCATTGTGTTTGAATATTAGCATGGGGCATATGTATGAGGGCTTGCTGGTGCATAGATGGCGTTTTTATCTGCATTAGCATTGGGTATACCTTGGGTGTGGTTTGGCATAAAGGTGTGATTAGTGTGATTCCATCCGAATAGTTTAGTATAGAAATCAAAATAACGTTTACATTCTGGGTGTGGCTTGTGGTGAAACTTCGTTCATCTAAATCTATGAAACGGCAGCCATGACCCGAGAAAAAATGGATAGGCGAGAAAAGGAGAAAATGGCGGGGTTGGGAAGAACGCGCGAGGAAGAACGGGTGAGGAAGGAGGGGTAAGGAAGGAAAGAGATGGGAGAATACTATCTCAACGTCAATCGGATTCCCACCAAGTTCCGGGCCATCTCGAATCCAGGAAACTTCTTTCCTTCGAGATAGTTTCACTTGCCCTACTCACATGAAGAGGGGATTGACGTACAGAAACTCCAACGGGGTTTGGTGTTTACTACTGAGAGCCATGAGAGGAAGAGGTGAGAGGAAGAGGAAAGGGGGAGAGAGGGGGAGAATCAATATGCTATGCTATTGTAGAAAGAAATACCACCGGCGTCAATCATGAGTACGTATCGCTCGATCACGAAGCTCATCTCATCTCAATAACATGAAAGTAGTAAAAATGGGATCTTTTTCCATCAAAAACTCCTATCTAAAACGCCAAAAAACAAAATACATCTCATATGAGAATGTATCATACTCCATATAGAGTATGTTCACTATCTCCATATGGAGATAGGATTTTCTTTAAAGAACAAAAACTTATCTTGAAAATGGTGAATCAGTTGCGGTGTTATCCACAACTTCATCCTCAACCTTTCTCTCCTCTCCACCATTCTGTGTCTGCGTCTTCGACTCTTCAGAAGTTTCGACCTTCTCATCTTGAGTGCGCTGAATTGACAGTGCGCTGAAGGGGTTCGCAAGTTCATCCGCGTTGAACTCGTAAACACCCTTCTTCGAGACAGAAGTAATCTTCTTTCTCTTTGCGATCAAGGCATCTCTCGCGGTCTTGATTGCGAGGTATTTTCTGTGGATCTTAGGCTCCTCCTTGGCGATTCCCCATTAGGGTCTAAAATCTCTGCTTCTTCAACACCGTTTAAATCTCTAAGGGTCTGCAAAGAAATGTCGTTGCGGGCGATCTCAGACTCGTCGGCAGGATTGCCCAAGACCTGACCAACTTGGCGTGCGGACTCGGCTCTCTCTTTCTCTTGCTTTCTCTGCTCGTCAGTGCGAGGAGTAAATGCTGGTAATTTCTTGGTTTCGTTGAAAATATCCCAGCCCATTCTGTTGGCATTCTTGAACATATTTCCAGCATAGTTCTTGCTATTCACAAACGTCTTTCAAAGGCCCAGAGCGGTGAAACTGCTTCAAAGGACCATGGGACTCATCAATGAGCTCCCAATCTCTGATTGAATTATCAAGGAATGTCTTGACACATCCTTTCTCTGCTGCTTCGGGGTGATTATCTTCTTGAAGCCAATACAGGAAGAATTGGGTTTGCAGCTTTCAATCTCAATATATCATTCTCCGGAATATCCTCGTATTTCTTATAGATCTTCTTGGTCTGGGGAATGACAAGCAAAACCAGAGGGGAGTCCCCTGGTGTAGCCAATCTTTCTGAAATGCTTGACAACTTGAACTCCGAAGTAGTTCTCGATTGCATGAACCCATTCTCCATTAGGTCCGACCAAATTTCTTGAAATCTCATGTGCCCATTTAGCAGCGACGACATAAAAGCAAGGGATTGCCTTCTGCATCACGTGGAAGCGTGAGGGGTGCTTCGGGCTTGCGTCGTTCATTCGTGTTTGGACGACTCTCATCTTTCTTTTCTTTGTCCTTCTTTTCGTTCTCGTTCTTCTTGACATCTGCGCCGGGGCGCGTCAACGCTTGACTGTATGATCCATCCGGACCCCAGTTGGACTGGTTCTTCTCCTTGTCGGTCATTCTTCGTTCCAATTCCAAATCTCTTGCCTTCTTCTCTGTTTGCTCAGCCTGCCAGGCTTCCATCAACATCTTGGCAGTTTCTGGATCTTCTTTCTTAAGAGCCAACCAACCATACAAGGGCATACCAGCAACCATGGTGGTGGCTTGTGGTGCTTGTGGATGCTGGGCTGGTGTCTTTGCGATTGATGCTTTCTCTGCTTCCTCTCTGGCTGCTGTGGCACGTCTTAAACTCTCTGCTGCTTCTGATTCAAGTCTTGCTGCCTCTGGTGAAGTTGATGCTGGAGTCTCTTCTGCTATGGTTGATAAACCTTCTAAAAACAGATCTGGTAATAGCTGCTCCAGTGTCATCTTGCGCCCTATGACAATCATTAGTAAATCATCAGGCAGTGTGAAAGCTAAAGACACAACATACATAAATATATGCCGACGGATCTCACTGCTCTAAGGTTTCGATCATCTTCGCTATCGCCGGGGAAGTCTCGAATGACTTTTCCCAGGTAAATCTCGTAGGCTTCATCAAATTCTGTAGCTGAAACTGGATAGCCGAAGCCATCACCTTCTTGTATTGCTTTCTCTCGAAGTCTTGCTTGGCTATCTTGGGATTAACCATGATTGTATGGCTTTTGTTGGTTGAATGTTGTTGTTTGATAGATCGGAAGAGACCTTCAAAATAATTTCTCAAACTTTGTTTACCGTGGGGGAAAAAAGTTTAGCGCATTATTATCTTACCGCCTTTCTTTTTTTGAAGGTGAATGTTTATGGTGAAGATACAATGAGACCTGCTTTCCGTATGTCCATCAGACTACACGACAAAAATTCATTACTTATTCAAATTTCAACCATTTCTCCTCAAATCAAAGTGGATTTCTATACTTCAACAATAGAGGAACATTTTTACATCTTAAAAGCTACATTAACCTTCAAGCTATTTACGAAAAAGCTATCATTTACGTCTTCTATCTGAAAATTATTTGAAAGCGCGCTTATGTCCTGATGTCACATGCACGGACTAATAACCCTAGTACTACCTAGCCTTAGTCATTTTGTCATATTGAAGCCTTTCATTCACGTTCACTGACTCACGAGGCTGTGAAAGTACACCTGAAAGCGGTGTTTATCTGGAATTCCCTTTACATACTATTGACAATATATATTTGAATCATGTCGCAACCCTTAAGAGCTACTTGTCGGCTATGAGGAAAATTCTGCCAACTACTTCGACGCGACTCCCAAATCTTCTCATATTTCAAAAGGAATTGTGCTTCAGTATCCACATACAAGTCCCACGCATCTAATATAGCTATCATGTCCGCATGGTCAATGGATTTGATTGGATCTTTAAAACTCTTGTTTATCTTCCACGACCTGTTTGATGTAATTCGAGAATCCAAAAAAGCGTGGGGAGGTCGAACTTTGATTGCTGACAAGGAAACTCTCGAAAAAAGCCTGAATCCGAGTCCGGGATAGCAATATTCATTCTCTTTTCAATCTGCGAAAACAAAGCAGAGTGGACTTTGAGACGGGAGTCGGATATCTTTGGAAACTTTATGTGACGCTTGCCCAGTCTATAGTACATGGTCAGCACCACACAGTGCCGTAAAAGGTCCCGCTGCCGTATGGTTTCTGAAATACTGGTAGACATATAACACGGGAAAATTCGGCGCATGGCGTAGTTGCCCAGTTTGTATTCTCTATGACTCGGTAAGTTGCTGTCTTGCCGTAGTTCCTTGTCGTTGTCGTAACTTTTGGTCTTTAGGTAGTACATCTCCAGGTGCTTCGCCGAAAAATTTCAAACTTTTCGCCCAAAGGTTAATTTCTTTATCCGAAATATCCTCAATACAGCTTCATCTTCTTGCGACCATTTTTCTCCGTCTGGAGCTTCATCCGACGAAGAGCTGCTCGAATCCAGCACAACCACACTTTGCTCTTCATCCTCTTCTCTCTTATCTTCTTCGTCATCTTCTGTTGCGGTAGCCGCATCTTTATCTCTTCCATGTGTTTTTCTTCTCTTCTTCGAAACTTCTCCATCGGCATCCGATGCGACACTATTCTTGTTGAATCTGGACGTAGACTTCGATCTAATCTGCGACTTCGATCTGCTATTCTTTGACTTATTGCGACACTCTTTTTCTTCATTTTTGACCTTGGTGTTGTTGCAGTCCGCAACGTGTTGCCTGGACGTCATTTAATATTTTTGAATGGTGGGTTGGATGAGCGCTCAGATTATTGAGAAAATCAAAAAAGCGATCAACACTTCAAATAAACTGGAAGAGAACGAGTAAATTTTATTCAGCCACATCGTAAGTGCATAAAAGTACTTTCGTGACCATCATTATGACCTAGAAATGAAGAATCAACTACCGTGGCAGAATGTCACCACAAGTATCAACAAAAGTTTTTCCAAAACTTCCCAATGTTTACACAGGCGGTAGAGACTTAGATGTCTATACGCAAGACTTAAAAGTAATCCAAGATGATACTTAGATTCCGTTCACGCAAGAAATATACTTCAGATCATAAGTGCGGCATGAAGTCTCTACTAAAGCAGGGTCTTTTGGTATTCACATGGTAACGTTATGGGGTTACCAATTGGAAGTAACACAACAACTTAAATCGCCTAAAACTATGATATAAGGAATCTGTGTGGAGGTTGTGTGACTCTTGTTTACAGGTGATTGGACGAATCTCAATCTAGCTGAATACAGAAGGATCAAAGGAGATCCAAGAGAATGAGGAGATCAGACTTAAAAACTCGAGGATGTAGATGATATTGCGAGAGGGAGGAAACTATACTGAGAAGAAGTTCTTTCATTGTCAGTGGTAATCTTTACTAGTTGGTATCAGACTTCATATTTACTGCGAGATGTTTAACAGCGACGAGGGTACATCTTCTAATCTTATTTTTCTTCTTGAATCCTATGACACAATACTTTGAACCAGTGACCTCATGCTTGATCACGCATGAATCATAACTCTTATGTCATTCTTCTAGAATTCGTGCTCCCAGTGAAAGCCGCCTAAAATCATTGACAGTTGGAATGGTAGAATTGAGGGGTGACGTAAGCACGTGAGGGGAAGAACATCAATGTTGAACCTCATCCAAAACTGTTCATTCTCTCCCCTAGCAACTCACAACCAAATCACGCAACCATGTCGCAAATATTACATCCAAAGGATGAACCATGTCTGTTCCACTAGACTTTGGTGAAGAAAGATTCGATCCAGAATTGATGGAAGCAGATGAGATTATGGAACGCCATGAGCAACTATCGATGGAAGTCAACAACAGCGTTCAAATACTCGCCGATGATGGTCAGATCACCAAGAAAAAAATCAGAGACTTTAAGAAGATGGTAGTTTCATTAGAAAATTCCAAACAAAGAGTCAAATTTGCAACAGAGAAAACTCCGAAAGGTTCAAGCTTTCGGCGATGATGCGGAAAAGGAAATTCAGACCAGCCTCCCGAAGCATAAAGTCCTTAGAATCAATACGAATTTACCCATTGGTCTATTCTATCAAGCACTAGAAGTCATTCTCCTTTACAAGGGTGATTTAGACGAAGTTAGAGAAAAGGGCGAAGAATTTCGAAAATTACTCCTGGCCAAAGAAGATAACATTTCCAAGACCATGTACCAAGCATTGAAGGATGAGAACCAGAAGCTCAAAGAAGATTACGAAAGCCTTAAAGCAAAGAGAGATTCTGAAAATGATGCGACTGAAGCATTGACAAGAAAGATGTCAGTTGATGAGATAGCCAAGCTTGAGAGACACCTGCAAGAATATATTGCCAAAGATAAATCTGCGCAAGATACCATCAAAACTTTGGAAGAGAAAGCTGGAGAAGCTAACAAGTCATACATTGAGATTTCCCAATCTATGGAGAAACTGGAGAAAGAAGTTGCCGATAGAAGTTCTGCGAAAGACACTGTGAAACAGTTGCAAAATGAGCTTGAAATGTCTCAACTGCGTCACGAACTCTGCATGTTGCAATTAGAGAAAGCAAAAAAGGGTTCTACTGAGCTTCACGAAAGATTGAACAGGGCAAAACAGAATAGTGAAGAGAAGAGTGAAAGGCTCTCCGATAAAAGCCTTGAGATTTCCGAGCTTCGCAAGACCCAAAAGCTCCTTCGAGCTGAGGCGAAAGCAAATGAAGAACGGAGAGTTTTGGAGAAAGAAATGCTCATGATTTCTCAAGTAGAGACATTAGATGCACTAGACGATGTCAAATCGAAGGAAAAAAAGATTGCAGAAGATCAACAAGTCATCAAAACTCTCCTGGATGACAAAATTCGTGATAAAATGATCATAGAGAAATACCGAACGGCACATCAGATCAACCTTGGGAATTTCAAGCAACACGTTTATGACATTGAGAAAGAATTAAAAGAAGAGCAAGCTACTTGTGCGAAGAATCTAGAGCAGGAGAGAGCCACTCATGAGAAGCAACTGAAGCAGGAGCGAGCCACTCATCAAGAGCAAGTGAAACAACAGCAGGCTGACCATGAAGATATGATGGAGCGAGAACAAGCCACTCATAGAGTGCGATTGGAGCAAAAGCAGGCTAAGCATGAGAAAAGGACAGAGCAAGAAAAGACCGTCCATCGACAACAATTGGACCGGGACCGAGCCACCCATCAGCAGCAAATGAAGGAACAGCAGACTATCCATGGAAAGACATTGGAGCAGCAGCAGACCAGTCATAAAAAGAAGATGGAGCAAGAAAAATCCACTCATCAAAATCAGTTGAGAGAGGAACGATTCGTCCATGAAAAAGAAATGAAGAAACTAGAACAGGAGCGAATCGCCAATCGAGAGAAACTAAAGCAACAACAGACCTCTCATGAAAGGGCATTGACGCAAATCCAGAATGAAAAACAAGATTACATGAAGGAACACAACACAATTGCCGCACTCATGACCTGGGAAATTCTCGTTTTTAAGGCTCTCTATCGAAAGAGAGTTGAGGATTGCAGAGTTGGTCGAGGAAAGATATACAGATTGGAGCATCAACTACAGTTGATCTCTCAAGAAAAGAAAGAATCCGAGATCCGAGGGAGAAGGTATCTCTGGAAAGCAATTTTCAATGCAGCTTCATCAGAGTCATGGAAGACTCGGTCTGTCACTATTCTTAATGACTTGAGAGTTTCTTCGCAAGAGTATCGAGACTTGAGAGTCAATAGCTCAAATGCCTTAAAGAAAGTCGAGGATGAATGGAGACACAAGGAGAACTCTACGGATCACCTCTGGACATTAGACTATATCGAGTTGCAGGATTTGAAGAAGTCCGCCTTTGAATTCATTGGAAATTACTTGGCATCATCGGTTCAAAGCAATCCTAGGCATTACGATGTGTGGAAAGAGTTGGCAAAGTCTATTTTAGACCATACGACTAGCATAAATAATGCTATTATTCCGAGAATGTTGTTAGCAGAAGTCAATGCTCCTTGGTGGAGATTTCAGGTCAAATCAAGTCACCTATTACCTTCTGCAGCAAGAGATTATACGAATCACTCGGTCCAAACACGATCTTTGCGTTTGTTTGCTATTCTTATTGAGCAAGAATACAATATATCAGAATGTTTGGAACTCATCATGAGTATCATGGAAGATCTCGCTTCTACTACAGATCATTTTGTAGGATACATGATTGCAAAATGCATTCAAGAGTATCTCAAAGATACGGATAGGCATATATCAAATCAAGGACCAATACTCAACCTTGCTTTTGATCAACTATGTCGACAAGTCGGTCGTAGGTTTCCTGAAATATGGAGTTGCTACGAAACAAGGGAATCATCAGCATCCAGGCATACTGTCAATCTTCGACTTAGAAATGAGTTCCGTTCACACCTCAAAGATTCTCATGAGATAATTATGAAGTTAGATCAAGTCTTGCATAGCTCCGAGAACCTCCAAGACATACTCGAGAGAACATGTCCCGAAGACTTCATTTCCATTGGGAATTTCTACATCAATTCCCAAGAAACATGGGATTGGATCATTTTGGTTTGTCAGGAGAAACGTACTGTTTATCTAGTTGAAGAGAATTGTGTGTGCAAAGACAAGGCATTAGAATTTGGAGATTTATCTTACTCCATCAAAATTAATGAATCAGATACATTGGTGTTTAGCTGTGTCACTTATGAACAGAGGACCTGGTGTCATGATCGACTCTCTAAAGCAAAGCTGGATGAAGTGTTGTTGGAAATTTTGAGAGAATTAGGAGTTGATGATATCATGAATATTGATTGAGGGAGTTGAGAAGTTTCAGATCAGAAAGTTTCTGCTTTCAGACGTGCCCCTTATGGGGATTCCTTATGGATAATATATAATTTTTCAGTTATCGTTTTCTCTTTATGAAGAACTAGAAGTTACTATAGTATAAATATAGCTTTTATGAGCGATTTAATTTATTCTTATAAACCTTAATAATATTGTATACTTCAAATACAAGCTTCATTAAAACATATAAAGAAGAGTATAATCTAGTAATATATAATAAGAGTTAATAATACTTTGAAAGAGAAGATATATAGAAAGTAAGTAACAAATATAGTATTATTATTATTATTATTATTAGTAATTTTCAACCGGGCCGTATAGGCAAGCCTCCCAGGGGGCATTACGATTGGGCTAACTGCGGGATGATCTTCTAATTTACATAATCCCCCTTTCCTAGGGATAGGGTCTCAATACCCTCAGTAGCCTTTCAAGCGATGGCTAGCGCATTTGCACTTTTGTCTTTGATCCTCTGAGCATCTCCGTATACGCTTTCCGATCTCTTATATAATATTTATTTGAAAACTGCTTTATCCTATAAGGGTAGCTTTTATATACATTCTATTACAATATAATATACCACATACTTCAATTTTCTTCTATATAGCTTTTCTAGATCTATCCCCTTCTACTTCTTGCTTATATTTGTTTGGATTAATCGATTTCTTCTCTTTTCTCCTTTTATTCTTCTGATAGCATTTTAGGGTATATACTTTTATAGAAGTCTATTATAGCAATAAATTTAGCGAATTTAGCTGGTGTATGTATTAATTGTTTTAGTAGTTATTCTTAAACTGCTTAATTGCAGGGTGAGTATTTGGACTTGATATCTGGGGGCCAGATTTTATAAATCGCAAGGACTTTGTGGTAATATATAATATATTCAAGGGATTTGAATATTCTGTATAAACAATGAATTGTTGCTTTCTTGTATTTAAATCATCAGTGATAGCTTTCGAAGTTGCTATATACTAAGCGGATTGCTAGTATTGTCACAGCGCCAACTACATGATCTGTAGTTGCCTTCGTGCCTCAGGCACAGCATACTAGCGCGCCCTATTTCCTATAAGTAGAGCTTCACTCTTCCATAGCTCTTCTATCCTTATAATACAATATAAGTCTTTACCCATACCTTAACAATTTGTATCATTTTCAAATAAATTATTATAGCTTTATTTCTTATTTTATTTTTAAAGCCTTACCAACACTTTGTTCTGATCGTGCCGATCGCATTTATTGTTGATCTATTATATATTTTGCTATTAATGTTTTGAGTTTTAAAAAGTGCTAAAGATAAATAAATAAGCATTTGTATCAGAAGCACTTATATCTGACTTATCTCTACAATTCCTTTTCTTGAATTATATTCTCAACTCTATCAAAGCCAATATCTTTTCTTTTATAGATCTATTCAATAATCCAAACACTATACACTTTGCTACCACTCAAACCATATTTGAATCGATCGAATTGATTGCAGGCTTATTATAAGCCCAAGCTGTTGTTACTTAAGCCCAAGCCATCAATACTCAATCAAAGATTATTAAATTAAAAAACACAATTGAAATATTAAAGATTGCTATTCGTAACAATTCGCAAACTTCATTTCATTATAAATATCTCGCCACTCCCGAAAAATTCAATAGTGATAAACAAAATATTGCAAAGCGCCAAGATCAATACACGACTTTTCGTAACACAATCAATTACTACTTAACTACAGATTACAAAAATGAATTAGAGTTTCAGAAAATCATATTTTTTGTTAGTCTATTTTCTAGCTCTGCTTATATAAATAATTAGATATACTTTGATATAATTACAGATAATACATATAATTCCGACCTTTGGCCTTCTAAATAGCATATTATAACAAGTATCTGGTATGAATTAAACAAGCAATACCAGACTCTAGATTTTTTATATAAAGCTTTTATAGATTACAATAAATGTAAAATGAAGAAAATCTTATTTGATAATTTTATTATCAAATTCAAGCAGCTTGCTATCAAATATAAAAAAACTACTGAATAACAAATTGCTAATCTTAAACTCAAAGTTTTATAAAAATTAATTGATGCTTTAGTTAACCATTCTAATAAACCTTCTACTGCCGATATCGACACATAGATAGTTTAGTAGCAAGGCATCTACAATGATTTAGAGGAGAAGATTTATTTTAATAATCAATATAAAAACTAAGGTACCAATTTCAATGATTAGAAAAAACCCAATAAAAAGAAGCCTACTATCGCTACTGTAATACCTATGCCTGATTCCTCTAAAGATTCTATATAACTGGATGCTGCTCATCAAGACTAACAACCCTTATTATATTATAATAAAAAACAATATCTAGATCTTGGCCTTTGTTTTTATTACAAAAAGCTCGATTATATCAAATTCAACTACAAAGAAAAGCAATATAACAATACAAAATATAATACCAATTTAGGAATTATACAATACCCCAATTATCCTTCTACTACAAACCAACATATTCCGAATGTCCACTGTTTTCTCGTTACCAATCACCATCACAACCCCGGATTTTATCGCAATACTTATAGCTCTACTTACCAGAATACATTCCCGCCTATTAATTGTTTCCTGATTGCCATGGCACCATTTCGATATGCCTCTCTAGTCCCCACTAATAGCAGAGATTTGGGTGGATTTGTTGAAGGCTCTGTACATTCGAATGATAGCGGAAATTCAATTCCTCAATCAAATATATTAAAAGACTAATCTCGATTTATAGTTATAAATCGAGGTTCTTTATAGAAAATTTGCCTTTGTGGATTAAGAGATTGGTTATATCTAGGGATCCTTTGTATCTTAGAACAATAAATAACAAATCTCTTAAAATCTCAACGGAAATTTTCCTTACACTTAATATAATCATCCCACTCATTAGCTTAATAGATAATAGAGTTGCGGAATATGGGTTTTATAGATAGAATCCTTATATTCAAACTTGATATCCCTACACATTCCCTCCCTACTACCCGCAACCTGTTATTTATAGATAAAAGAACTTCTGATATCCTATTTCAGTAATGCACTGTTAGATTTACGGATTAACAATCATAAAGAAATTGATTTTATTTTATATTACCAATCTTTTCGACACGGATTTTATAATCCTCGGTCTTCTATGGCTTCAGTGCTATAATCCTATTATTAATTGGGCAATAATAACTCTTAAATTCACATCCCATACTGCTCCAGATATTGCTGCCCAATTAACTTTGCTGTAATTGTTATCCCCAATTATAATAATATGCTAATCCTAGTAGATATAGTACTTAATCCAATATTATATACACCATTAAAAAGTTTATTTTGAAGTCTATTTCAAAAAAATCTATCTCAATCTTATATTGTGCCTTTACTAAAGAAATCATTGATGAAAATCTTCAGATTCCTTCCTTTTCATTTCAAGACTAATCGATACTTTTGGAATACAATCCTTCAACTCCAGCTATAGAGAAGAATACTAATAGAAACCTTTACAATATAGATTCTGCTGATTTAATATCACCCAACTCAAATTATTACTACACTCACCAAATCAACGAAAAAACAGAAACCTGCGTCAAGATAATATCAAACTAGCCGATCCTGAAACCAGCCCTAGCACGGATTATCACAGACTCTAGGATATACAAAAGACCACCACAAAACCAAAACGTTTTACCCCCATTGAACCCCCTATCACTACAGAAGCCCTTTGAGGAACCGACTAATGCCTTACGAAATATCTGATAGAAAATAAACAATATAAAGTTCCTTACAGCTAATAGCTTTATTCAATTCTATAAAGATTAGGAAGCTTATATTACAAAAATAACCTAGAATGAATTAGATAGAGCTTGCGAGTTATATTATATAATAACAAACAATCCTATTCAACTATATCGCAATATTATAAAAAGCAATATCAAGAAATTCATAAAAAAGACCAACCAACCTGTACCATCTATAATAGAGATTCAGAACAAACTATTACTCTAGCTTTGCAATCTATTCGCTGGATTCTTATCCTCCCTCATCAATAAGCTCCCACTACAATACTCTTGGAATCACAAGATCGAGATTATATTAAGCAAAGAGTCCTTATACAACAAAAGTTGCTCAATATCCCCAGCCAAGCTCCAAATCATTCACAAATAGCTCGATAATAATCTAAATAAAAGATTCATTCACAAATCCCACTCCCAATCGATTATCTTATTCCTTTTAATTACAAAACCCAAAGGAAGCATTTGAATTTATTAGGATTACTGTGAATTGAATAATATTATTATTAAGAATTGTTATCTGCTGCTATTGATTAAAAAAACCCTCAATACCTTATGCTATATTAAAGTTTATACCAAATTGGAATATTATCACCATATTTAATAAACTATAGATTATAGAAGATTACAAATAAAAGACTACTTTTATAATTTGTTTCGGCTTATTCGAATTTCTAATAATATTTTTCAACCTTTACAATACTTCTATCTGTTTCAGAATTATATCAATCATATTCTTTTTGATTTTCTGGATAAGAATTATACAATATACCTAAACGATATCTTGATTTACTCTGAGAATGTTATAGATTATCGAAAGCAAGTTTGCAAAGTTGTTTAGAAATTCATTAATATTAGATTACAAATTGATATTGATAAATATAAATTCGAAATAAGAAAAACGAAATACCTCAACCTGATTATTATTCCTAGTGATATCAAGATGGACCCCAATAAGGTTAAGATTATTCTTAAATGGAAATTGTTAACTAAACTAAAAAACCTCCAATATTTTCTAGAGTTTACTAATTTCTACCAACACTTTATTTATAACTTTTTTAAAATTACAGAATCTTTAAATTGTTTACTGAAAAAAGAGAATATATAAAATTAAACTATTAATTAAAAAAATACCTTTAAAAATCTAAAGTATACTTTTATCTCTACTCC